CATAAACACACGCGCTTTGTTCTTCCCAGCGCCAGCGACAACACCTCTGCTGAGAGTGGCGTCAACCGCCTGTTTACGACAACAGAACCGCTCAGCACCTTCTTGCGCCTTGCCGCCACCTGGGCGCACCTGCACCGTGTCCAGTTCCAGGTCGAGCACTTGGCCGGCGAAAAGAACACGTGGGCTGACGCCCTCAGCCGCGGACGCCTGGCCTTCATTAAGCACCGCAGTGCCGAACGCGTTCGCATCAGCCTAGCGCAGCTCGCATCTGCTTCGCACACCGTTTCACTTCGAGGGGAGGAGAACACCTTCCCCCCTCGCCTCTGCGAGGCACAGCGCAGCCTACTGCGTTGATTCGCTCACCGTCGTGAACCGAGAAAAAAACTCTGCATCAGAGCTTTGCCACCTGCACGCCTTGTGCTCTGGCACGTTTACTTCTTTCTCCATGTCCGCCTCGACAGGTCTCCTTCTACATCCTCGTGCGAGGGGGGGTTCTGAGCCCGCGAGGCAGAGGATGCTGAAGTCGAACTAAAGAGGGGGAAAAGAGCTCGGCAACGCACTGCCCCGCTCCTCCTGTTACTGGGCATCGCATTGCCTCGCACCGACTTCAAGCATCCTTCGCGAGTAAAAAGAAGAGAGCGCTTCCTCACTCTGTTCTGCATTGCTCAGCAAACTCACAGTATTCTTACTGAGAACGCTTGTCGTGAGTTTGTTGTTTTGGTCGACAGTGTTTTCGGTAAGTACTTGAGCTTGCATTGCTTCGCCTTGCGCCGCACTGCTAGCTCAAGCTGTCGACCCGGATCGCTTCCGATTTTAGCTTTTTCACCCACCCTCCTCAACCCAGGGGAAAAGAGCTCGGCAACGCACTGCCCCGCTCCTCCTGTTACTGGGCATCGCATTGCCTCGCACCGACTTCAAGCATCCTTCGCGAGTAAAAAGAAGAGAGCGCTTCCTCACTCTGTTCTGCATTGCTCAGCAAACTCACAGTATTCTTACTGAGAACTTTCGCTACCCAGCAGGATGGAAATAAGGTTTTGCCGAGAGTTTTTGCGTTTCGTAGGGGTTGGGTACCCGTCCCACCCTTTGGCTGAGCCCTTCTAAAAAATTTAGGCCGCTGCACAGGGCTCGTTAAGATTTAGGGCAGGTTCCTAACCCCCTTAAGCTGAAGCGGTTGTGCTTGGTATAGCCAAAGGGTGGGGGATCCCAAAACCTGCAGAGGGGGAGTCATAGCCAAACGCCTGAGATCCCAGCTGGGAGGCCAACACTCGCCAAGCGAGCTTCGGGGGGGGGGCTTGCTTGTGCAGTTGTGGGTTTGGTTGTGCCTGTTTTGCCAAGATTTTTCTGTACTTGGGTGACGAGACTCACGCAGTCAACGCTCGGCGTGGTGGCCTGCCGGTAAAGCCACCCTTGTCACCAGTTCAGTCTGCCTATGCCGCCGCCATCTGTGTTTGAGCGCACACGCACTGTGAACATGCCTTCCACGTCTCGCCTTACAGCCAGCTGTAGAAGAGGCAGGTCTTGCTGTGCTGCACGCCGCAAAGTTTCCAACACCATCGTGACTGGATTGCGAAATACTATCGCTACCCAGCTGGATGGAAATAAGGTTTTGCCGAGAGCTTTGGCGCTCTGTAGGGGTTGGGTACCCGTCCCTGACTCGCCAAGAGAGCTTCTGGGGGGGGGGCTTGCTTGTGCGGTTGCGGGGTTGGTTGTGCCCGCCTTGGAACGGTTCTCTGTGCTTGGGTGACGAGACTCACGCAGTCAACGCTCGGCGTGGTGGCCTGCCGGTAAAGCCACCCTTGTCACCTGCTCAGTGGCCTGTGCAGCATGATCGGGCGCCCTGTGCCTTCGCAGTTTGTCCAAAGGTTCGAAGGCCAAACCTTTTCACTCGACCCAGAGGTAGGTCAGGAGGGCTTGTTCATGCACGCAGGTAGGTTGGAGGTCAGGTCGTGCTGCCGCAAAGGTTAGGGCCGCACAGGTCAAGAGGCCGGTCTTGCTGTGCTGCACGCCGCAAAGCTTCCAACACCATCGAGACTGGATTGCGAAATACTTTCGCTACCCAGCAGGATGGAAACAAGGTTTTGCCGAGAGCTTTTGCGTTTTGTAGGGGTTGGGTACCCGTCCCACCCTTTGGCTGAGCCCTTCTAAAAATTTAGGCCGCTGCACAGGGTTAGTTAAGATGTAGGGCTGGTTTTTCAGCTTCTCAAGCTCAAACGGCTGTCCTTTGCAGTGAGCCCTAGGGTGGGGGCTCCCAAAAAACCTGCAGAAAAGGTATCATAGCCAAGGCCTTAAAAAATCTACGGCTTGTTTCGCAGGAGGCGCCTAAGTAGGCGTATCGGTGGCTCTGGGACGCCCGCCTCCATGCTTGCCTTTTGACGTCTGCATCGGGCGGTATTTTTCCCAACGGGGCAGGGTCGCAGTTAGCAAGCGCGAGAACGCTGCTTCTCTTTCGGCCTCGGGTTTGGCCTCTGCTTTGTCGTTGCTCGGTTGTCGCCGCCCGAATTGGTCGCGACATTTCGGTGAATGTTGCGGTTCGTAAGAGCGAGAACGCCGCTTCTGCCACTTCTGCGTGCCCGCCTCTTAACGTCTGTTTCGGCCTGTGCCCTTTCTCAACAGGTTGCAAGGTTGCAGTAAGTAAGCGCGAGAACGCTGCTTCTCTTACGGCCTCGAGTTTGGGCTCTGCTTTGTCGTAGCTTCGTCGTCACTGCTTGGCATTGGCCGCGCATCGGTATATGTTGCGGTTAGTAAGAGCGAGAACGCCGCTTCTGTCACTTGTGCATGCTCGCCTCTTAACGTCTGCTTAGGTCCGTGTCTTTTCTCAACTGGTTGCCAGGTTGCAGTTAGTAAGCGCGAGAACGCTGCTTCTCTTACGGCCTCGTGTTTGGGCTCTGCTTTGTCGTAGTTTCGTCGTCACTGCCTGGCATTGGTCGCGTCACCATCGGTATATGTTGCGGTTAGTAAGAGCGAGAACGCCGCTTCTGTCACCTTTGGCTTGCCACTCACTGCCTGGGTGCCTTCACCTTACGTCGCCCGGCCGTGGACATTGGACTTGTGGATTTTGGTGTGCACGATCGCTGCCTAGGAGCGAGGCACTTTCAGACCTTGGACTCATTGGCTGGCCACAGTGTCCAACCTTTCGACATACGTCGACGGGTCTTTCCATTGCCGCTGGCCTTGGGCTTCTGGACTTGTGGATTTTTTCCGTGCACGATCGGGACACAACAGGACCTCGGGGCCGACCGTTGTTCGACGGAACTAGAACGGCGGCCGGAGCCTTGACTTGGGCTCCACTGACGGTCTTGGGCAACTTTGGGCGACGGCCCACTGTTGTTGTGGAACGATCGCTGAGGACCCGTAGCAGGTGCTGAACGGCAAACCCCGGCAAAGCCTGGGCGCCGCAGCTAGTTCCGCCCTCTCTAATTAGGTATCTTGTTTCACCGCTGTTTTCGTTTGTTTGATGGTTTGTTTGTTTGTAGGGACCGAGTGCTACAGCCGTAGTCGACGAGGCCCGCATACGCCAAAAAAAAGCGCTGCGCCGCGCTACAAACCCCTAAACTTCAACACTTCTCTTTCTGGCTCAGAGTTGCACACAACAGCGGCGCGTCCTGTGCCAGTCTGCGCGCACGATCGTCCAGTAAAACCCAGCTGCGGCCTTGCCAGAATGCTCAATAAGCTGAAACTTCCCTCTGTCCGTACACCCACGTCCTGCCTCCGCAATCCTGATCTTCTATTTGGACAGACAACAAAGGAGACTGGCTTGCACCGCACAGTACAGCGGTGTATACAAGGACGACGCGCCCACTCTAACAAAAGGCCTCCAGGATGAGCCTCGACAACAAGCTGGTCGACAGCAATTCCACTGCTAGCAGTCAGATTTGAGGCATGTGCTGCTGTTGCATACCGTTGAAAGGGAAATTTGTGCTGTGCGTTGGAGACTGTAGAATGAAGGTGGAACTTGATCGGCGGGAGGAAGTGCCGCTCAAGTCACCTGGGTTTCAACCTGGCTTCATTAGACCCGGATTCAAACCTGGGTTAGACTGGGTTTCAAACCGGGTTTGGAACCTGAGTTTAGACTTGGGAAGCTAGGTTTATTAAATTCGCGTTCCAAACCTTGGTTAGAACCTGGATTTCAAATCTTGGAACCTGGGTTTTTATCTGGATCAAGTCTGGGTTCATCAACTCCGGGTTCCAAACCAAGGTTCGAACCTGGCACAAAGCACATAGTTGTTGCAGGCAGGTGAAGTTTTGAAGCGGAAATGTCGCTATGCCGGTTACGAACTGCTCTTTCAACTCCACCAACAGATTCATGTCCCTGCGGTGGCGCTTTCTGAGTCCAACCCGAATCCCAAGATTCGCTCGGCGAATCAAAGCACTGACAGCCGTCTCACTATCAGTCCGAAGTAACACCGCAGTTCCGGCAGTTGTCAATCCAAAAGCATTCATCCAATACCTGGTCCACGTCGACGTGTGATCTGCGTTTGTCCCGACAAGGGCACAACCAACCATCCTGCTAGACATCTCTGCCATCACCAAAATTTTCATGTTGGGTGCACTCGGCTGGTCCTTAACAAAGGTACCAGTAACCAAGTTGATGTAACAAAAATCAGGGCGATTACCCACATCTTTGCCTCTCCGATGTTGTGTCACACCTCTTGTCTTTTGACCATGGAGACAACCTGACATGAAAGAGATGTGTCCACGCATTCGATGAACTTCGAGTTCCTCTTTCATCTTGACCGTCATAGCTGACACGTTTCCAACTTCCATGGGACTTGAAGACTCCTCTTGATCGACATCCATCTTCACCTGAGTCCTTCCAAAAGTCACTTTCTTGGTCGGTTTTCCTGTACCTTCCAGATAAATCATGGAAATCCAGCCCATGCCTGTCCATAATAACTTTGAAAGAGCTGTTCAGCATGATCAGGCTTGATTTGAGAGCCCAAGGGTATGATCGGAAGCGCAGTCCGCGTGCGTTTGAGTTTGGGTTGATCTACTGTGCTGCCATGCACAATCATCATTCCGCTGCTTTTGATGGGAAGAATTCTCCTCAGGAGTTGGTTTTGCAGAGACCACTGCCTGCGTGTGCATCTACTTTGATAGGGATGACGGTGCTTGCTGAGTTACCGAACAGTATGAAGAAGACATCCTTGTCAAGGTTTGTGGAAGCAGCCTATCTGTATCCAGAAGCTGGTGGATTGACGCATGTGGTGAGTTCGCTGGTGAACGGGACGCCACATCATTATCGGGCGAAGTCGATTAAGCGCATCACTCCAATGAAGGTTGGGTTTGAGCATTGTGAGCATCTGCTCAAGGTCTACGATCCTAAGGATACGTTGGCACCTCCCATGTTGAAAGAGTTGGATGATGGGATACCCACGGAAGTGCAAGGTGAAGTCGACAAAGCCTTTGAAGGAAAGGTGTCTCAAGGACCTACCGCAGACATGAGTCAGGTGGGACCGCCAGCAGCTTGGGTACGAGAGCATGGAGGAACGCCTGGATGTCCAGCGTGTGGTGAGAAGCGAGGAAAAGCCAATCACAATGCCGCTTGCAAACGGCGGTATGATACGTGGTTGAAAGACCAAAGCCAAAGATTGGTTGGTGATGGGGAGCAAAGGTCGGTTGAAGGCGAACCGGGATTAGGATCGACTACGCCTCCGAAGGTTTCTTCAGAAGCGAGAAGCTCTGAGAATGCGGGGGTGCCGGGTGTTAGTGCACCTTCGTTGAAGCGCCCTAAGACCAGTGATGAACGTACCGGTTTGGGAAGTGAAGCACCCTCAGCGGCATCTAAGCCTGACGTGGTTGATGTGGAGATGTTCGAGGATCCGAGTCTCCCTTATGAGCAGGTTCCGGATGAGGAGATGGCACCGGGATACTTTGAGGGCGAACAGCCTATGGAGGTTGAAAAGGATCTCGATGAAGGGACTGAACCCATGAGTGTTGAGTCGGGAGATGTCCCGAGTGATCCCAGTCGTGTTCCAAGGCTGTTGGAGCAAGTGAAGCCTGCAGGCTGGCTTCATCCAAGGTTGGATTCTTCAGAAGGTTTGAACCATGCTGTTGGGGAACATGAGGCGCCAAAGCTGGCCAATGTTGTGAATGCAGTTCTTATTGAGAAGAACACGGCGTTTCCTGAACAGGTGAAGATGTGTGGATCCAAAGTTTGGTTAGCGAAGATGAAAAGTGCTTTGTCTGAGCTGGATGGGTGTCCATTGGACGTCTCGTCGGCTATGGAGGGTCGAAGCATTGAGCTTGGAAGCATGGATTCACATAAAGCCGGAAGGATTGTGTCTGCTGACTAGGCGCATTCGTTTGCCAAGAAGCATGGGATAAGGATTATTCCTACCCGATGGGTGCTTGGACACAAGGTTGTGAACGGGAAAGATTCAGTGCGCGCCCGGTGTGTGGTGCAGGATGTAGCAAAGGGTAGTACGGCTTCATCATTAGGTTTGAGTGCGACCACGCCGTCGCTTGAGGCTTTGAGAACTCTTTTGGCTATTGCTGCCAAAGATTCGATGGATATTGCTACCCTGGAAGTCTCGACTGCCTTTTTGCATTCCCCGTTGCCAAAAGGTGAAAGGGCTGTGATCATGTTGCCGAGGGACGTGAGTTCGAGATCTGATTGTTACGCCCCGGCATAGATGATTCTTGATCAAGCGATGAATGGATTGAGAGTTGCCGCCAAGGCTTGGAACCTGAAGTTGGCAAATGTGGTGAAGACGGTTGGGTTGACGCAGTGCCCAACGGAACCATCGGTGTTTGAAGGAACCGTGAAAGGGAAACGGTTTCTCACGCTCTGTTATGTGGATGATCTGATCCTGTGTGGAAGCTCAGAGGCCATTAAGTTGGTCACAGATACTTACTTTGAATCGCGAGCTCAAGATCAAGGAAACGGGTCGCATCACTCCGACTGGAGGTCGGATTGGGTTCTTGGGAAGAGAGATTGAGAGGAATGGTGAGCATCTTCGGATGAGAGTTCCCCCGAAGTACATGGAGAGTTTGTTTGAGACAGACTTTTGCAAAGATCTGAAGGTGTTGAGCAGCCCTCCGGATATCGTGAAGACCATTGAAAAGGGTCGTGCTGATCCTGAGACAGCGTGTTGACGGAGGCTGCTGCGATGCGCTATCGAGCAGTTCTTGGTAGGATTGCTTGGTGGGGTCAGTCTCGTCCAGACCTGGCCCGTTGGATGTCCATCCTTTCCCAAGGTCAGTCGAAACCTACAGCTTGTTTTGAGCATGCTTTGAGGCAAGTGATTCGTTTCTTGAAAGGCCAATATCTTTGTTGGCAGTATTTTGGTCCTGGGAGTGAGGTCCCAGATGCAGGACCATCGAGGATCGACATTTACGCAGATGCGAGTTGGGCGCCGCAAGCGTCTCTAGGAAGGAAATCGGTGTCGGGAATTGCTATCTTTTACCGAGGTTGTTTGATCAAAGAAATTTCGAGGATTCAAGGATGTGTGTCGCTCAGCTCGTGCGAGGCTGAGCTGAGATCGATTCTTACTGCAGTTCAAGAGAGTGAAGGGATTGCAACTTTGATTGGACAGCTTGCCAATGGTAAGGTAGAGTTGGTTCTTCACACTGACAGTTCATCTGCGAAGGCAGTGCTCTTGAATCGAGGTTTGAGTCGAAGGGTTCGATATTTGGACATAGCTGCTTGCTATTTGCAGGAAAGGATTCAGGAGGAAGGGACTCTGAAAGTGGTTTGGTGTCCCACGTCTGCGATGGTCGCAGATATTTTGACAAAATGTTTGAGCATGGAGTGGTTCGCATGATTTGCGGCGTGAAGCTCTGTAGGCTCGCACAGCTTGATGATGACTTGTCTATGGACCGCAACACGGAATGCTCAAGCCCTCAAGCTGACTGGATACCTGAAACAGGATCCTTGGATCGATCTTTGGATATGGTTACTGCTGTGCAGAACCAGGAGGTTATAGCACCATTTTGGTGCAAAATGTGCAAGTGGTTGTTCAAAAATGAGGAATCCTATGGCTTGAACAAAGCCAAGGAAGGGTTTGTTTGCGGCAAGTGTGAAAGTAAGATCACCGTGATGGGATCAGCAGCTCAGCATGCCTTCAACATGCGTGAGAAGGATAAGACCAAGCGCTGGGGACCGAAGGACGATGGCAAAGACCACACCTCGGAACAGGCGCCTATGACTCCAGCCCCTGCTGGGCTAGAGGATAACATTGGTGGCTCAGCGCAGCCGGATCCTTTGTTGCCTTGGGTTGCGGGTCTTGGTGATGAAAAGGGTACACCTGAGTGGTACAATGGTGTGCATGATTCGGTGTGCCGAAAGGGGACACCGTATCGTGAAATGATTGGAGAGTTTGAGCGGCTCATCTCGCTGTTGAGCGAGGATGAGAAGGCTAAGTATGACAAGGACTACAAGTCCTTGAAACACCAGAACCAAGGAATCTTTGCAGCTTGCGAGGAAGCCGGGAGCTTTGCAGCTTTTGAGAAGTTGATCATGGTGTTTGATCTTAGGGGGCCAGATCGGTGGCCAAGCTGCGCTCTGGGAAGTTGCGACCACTTCGCGTTGTCTGTTTACGTAGGTTCCTCGTGGAATCAGTGGCCTATCTCTGGCCACCTTCGTGTGTGGCTTGTGCCAGAAGGGTTCCACACCTCTGGTGTTGGTTGGAGATGCTGTCGACCTCAGTGTCCGCAGGATGATGGATCTGTTTTCAATGCTGCCAATGATTGGAGCTGAGATTTGTGTCGATGCCGAGGCACAAAAGGATCAGCATCCTGAGTGGTTGAAGGAGTGGCAGAGAACGGACTGCTTGGCACTGACTGTTGTGTGCAATGGCATTCGTTGGGTTGCCGAGTTGATGTGTCAGTCGGTGCTTAACAAGGACCCAAATGGTGTGTTGCCCAAGTGGGCGTTTTGGGTTTACTCCAACTACAAAGTGATCCAGTTTGAGAGATATTATGACGTGTGAGGAGACACGCCCTGCTTTGAGTTGGGATTGTAATTGCCCTTTGCATAGCAGCAATGTGTACGTGTTGAAGCACAAGGTGTACTTGCCAGTGCACCTTCTTGTGAACGTTGTCACGCTTGTTGTGAAGCACTTGTGTGAGTTGAAAGAGGAGATGCTTCAGTTGGAAGCCCTGATGGGCAAAGAGGTGACACGTCAGCAGCTTCAGCAGGAGCTTAAGCGAAAGTCTGAGGAGCGGGAGAAGGAGGAAGAGGCTAAAAGGCCTAGGGTTGAAGAGCCCACTGCGCAAGCAGCAACTGCTCCAGTGGTCGGTGGTGTGCTTCAGTTTGCCATGACGGAAGAGGCATATGCAAGGGTTGGGGCATGCTGCTCCTGTGGTGGCACCTGTGAGTGCACCATTGGTTGATCATTCGGATGTTATGGCTGCGCGCCAAACTGAGCTTGGGGAGATGCGGGCAGCGGCCCAGGATCGGCGTCAGGCTTTGGTTGCTGAGGCGTCGAAGGGGGCTGAGGATGATAAATAAGCGTAGGGATTCCGGAAAGGGATCTAAGTCTAAGTGAAGCCAGGTGGGAGAATCTTGATGATCTCCTTGAGTTGGAGATGGTTGTGGAAGCCTCTCAGGTTTTCTGCAGCCGTTTTAAGCCATGGCATTCGGTGCCGCAATGGCTCTTTGGCTCTTTTGCTGCGCGGAGTGGCAATCAGTGCATGTGTTTTTGACTCAAGGCCCTACGGTGGCCAAGACGCTTTCTTTTTCTGGAAAAGCTGGGGTACAGTCTGGAACTGGTGTCAAGCAACGCTGGACACATGGAAGCTGGCAGTTTTCTTCACTGGCTGAACAGTTTTCTTGGTCCCTTCGGACCCTCTGCGTCAGGAACCCTGGTGTTTTTCGCCCTGTCAAAACTGCGAGCTGAAACTTGAGACAAGGTCTTGAAGAGGAACTGAGTTTTTCTGCCCGCTTCGCAGTAATTAGTTTGACACGTGTTTTCACCACGATCTGAGTTGTCTCAGAACCTGCGTGCCTCTTTGATCAAAGATCGGCTTTGTGTTTTGTTGTGCGTGGTTTGTGTTTGAGTGGCGAGTACGCACCAAGGGAATGTGGCCTGGGCATCCCCCTAGTGCAGAAGGGCCAAGTTTGGTCTCTCAGAGATCTTTGAGGAAGCCCTCAGCAAAATGCGGGGGGTGTAAGATCATGAGCGTTAGCCGCTTGTGAAAAGTACCTCTGTTAGTGAGTGGTTTTGCTTCGGGAACGGTTTCGAGGTTTGGTTGGGATTCTTGATGATCCCAAGGTTCAGGACTCACCTTTGGCGAGCGAAACACCAATGTCGCGCAGGGCTCGACCGGTTCTCGCGAAAGATCAAATACGATATGCGATCATTCATGGAGCAGTGTGTATCCCGATACGTTGAGCTGTGTGGTCCTAAATATAAAGCCACCCTGCGATCGGCGGATACGCCCTTTCTCGATGAATCACGACCGGAGTTCGATGTCAATCCGGATCGTCCCGCCCTGAACCGATTATTGGGCCATCCTGCCGATACGCCTGTGCCACCTGGTAAGGGTGTCTTAGCCGATTGTGCTGCCGCTGTGTTGATGAAGATACTATATGGTGCTCGCATGGGACGCTACGATCTCATTCGTCCTGTGCAAGCTCTTGCCAGTCTCATCACTAAGTGGGATGGCTTATGCGATAAGAAGCTCCATCGATTGCTGTGTTATATCAATTCGACTCTCGATCTCAACTTGTACGGTTGGATTGGTGATGCGCCTGAAATGTTGGAGCTTGTGCTTTATTGCGATGCAGAACCTTCCCTTGAGGATGTTGATAGCACGTTTGAGAATCTTGTCGATTTCAAAATGTACTAGTGTTTGGAAAGCTATAAGGACTCCTTGAAGGATCCTAAGCTTTGTGTTTAAATCCCACAAGATTCACTGCGTGAATCTTTGTGTGGTTAGTGCCCCATACGCTAACTCGTTTGTTTGAATTCGTTTCCACACCTGAGTGTGAACTCCGACGCACTCCGTAGCCATTTTGGCTCAAGCTGAGTGAAAAGGACTTGCAGTGTCCGCTGTCGTTTGTCAGTGACGACTTTTTTTCCGAGGGAAAAGGTCCGGGAGGGACCTTAAGGTTTTTAACGAGGCTCGCCGCACTCTTCGATTGAGTTTTTTGGAAAGTGTGACCAACTTGCCAGAACTCGCTCCATGAACACAGAAGGATGGAATTCTAAGACGAAGGCATCATGGGAGAGCAACAAGGCTGAAAAAGTCAAATACAGGCAGTGGAAGCGAGATCGGAGGGCCAAAAAAAAGAGGCGGCCGACGTCAGTGTGACCTCTTCCATCTCCAAGAAGGACCATGGAAAATTTGCAGGCAACTGAACACCAAGGTCGAAAGAAAGAAAATCCGGGTATTGCAGGCATCCTTGCAAGAGAGCACAAGAGAGCCTCTCATTATCGCCTCTCCGTCGCACTGGAGCATCCTTGCCGCACTTGAATTGCAAGTCCTGTCCGTTTTTTTTTCTTTACTCAGAAACTCGTGCACATGCAGGCGAGCAGCAATGGTTAGACCACAGCGATGCAAAAATGAACATGCAGTTTGGGTTTCAGTCTTCGAAATCAATTTTCCTTTCCACTAATTTTTGTTTTAAACTTCCAAAAAATTCTTCATTATCGCACTGGATGGTGCATAAAACGTGCATGGCAAGGGCTTGAAGACCTTTGGAAGTGTCGAGGCGGCGCTAAAGGGAGAAAGCAAGCCATTAGTTCTCGAAACTGGACCCGTTGACCGCTTTGAGGATGGCTGTATCGTTGCATTCTTCCAGCGATCTCCACTTGAGGATGTGGGTTTTGATGCTCCACTTTTCGGGTTCCCTCCGGCTGTTTTTAGAGCGCGCTGGAATGCTGTGTTCTTTCATCTTCAACATTATGTGCCAGTGCTAGATGCAAAATATGGAAGAGGCACGCGGTCGTGCATTAAATATGTTGCCCTTTTCGGTGCATCATTTTGAACACGTCTGTCGTGCACGGCTTCCAGTTCATGTCCCATTTTATTGGAGATTTCCGCTTTTTGCAAGCATTACAATTTTATCATTGACGGAATGTGATATGCTTTCAGCGTGAGACTCGAAGATTTATGCCGGATTAGCATGTTGTCGCATGCTTTCAGTTCGAGAATAAGGGGTACACAGTTTTCAATCGTGCTCGATGAGTTTCTTTTCACCAAATGTTTGGAAAATTTCCTGAAAAAATGCCCCCAACTCTTTTCGTGGGGGTGATATGCCGTCGTCTGAGACGATTCTTCGGCGATGTAGTGTGCGCACATGTGCAAGGCACTGGCGGAAAGCCTCCAACATCCGGAGTGTCCAAATCGAATTTGTCGATAACAAAAAGAGTTCCGAGCGCGAGCTGTGATTTCCATACAAGCTCCGTACATTTGAGATTTCCGCCTAGTGCATGTTGAAACAACTATTGTGTGACGAGATCTCACGTGTTTGTGGAGACCGCATGGTGTTTGTTTGGGAGCAAGGCATGACACAATAATATTGCATCCTCATGTTTGGGTTATGCGAAGCAATCGAATTCCGTAGATGCGATCTGGTTGCGATGTTGCCCAATTGGCTTGATCCACGCATCGACATGAACAGTTTTAGCAGCAGGTGCTTTGCACTTGGCAACGCGCAACATCCTGGAAGTTCGCACCTTTCTCGATCGTGTAGGTCCTTTGAATTCTTGTAACCAGATGTCACTGCTGATGAATGGGATGTGCTGGCAACGAGGCCTTAAGTTCTAAATTGTGGTTTGTGGTTTCTCAAGTATGCTTTTTAGTTGCACATAGGATAGACATGCATGCATCAAGATGTTGACGTAATCCTTCATTTTGGCTCGACATTGCAGCATTTTGAGACCCTTTAGGCCGCCTGTCACCCCCCAAACCCCCTAAAGCCTTGGTTTAAATCCAACTCCCATCCCCCCTCCTACCCTCATATCTTGATCCCAGCTCGCCGACCCTTTAAGTGTTACAAACTCCACCAATCGATATTTGTCCCGAACTGCCCGAGCTTGTAATCTTTGTCCGCGCTTTCAGCTGAAGTCGGGCGTGCTTTTGGTAGCCCCCTAGCGCCCAGAACAAGGCAAAAGGAATCGACTTCGGCCCGCCACTTTCCCGATCCCGAATTGTGCAGTTTCTCAATTGGGCTCATAGTAGGACCCGGAAACAAGCGCAAGCTGGGTGGCGGAAAGATGGCGATTCCCCAATTCTGGAAGTCTGTGGATCCCTGGACGCAGCAGGCGCGGGGACTGCAGGCTGCAACCTTTTGGCCCTTTCTTTTGAGAAGTCAGAGAGTCCAATGTCGCGACAGAGTTTATCAAGAGTGATTCGGCCTGAAAGGCTTGGCAAAACGGGCCGCGGCTGACTGCAGCTCTGCTCAAAACTTATATGTGTCTGAAATCCTCGAGGATGGAAGCTCCACCCCAACCTCAACCTCCGACAGTCCTCGAGTCCCCACACCCAACCAGGGCGAGGCCCAACTTCACGCAATGCCGTAGGTTTGGAGCTGCGGCAGCTAAAAGCCCAGAGGCCTCAACAGAGAGAAGCGTGCTTTCTGTCGGAGTTCTCGGAACACTCCCACGGAACAGTCCCACAGTCCTTGAAACAAGCCGTTTAAGCACAACGCAAGGTCCCGGCGTCTTCTCGGATTTTTATGGCGATGGCCAAGCCAATGGATCTGGTAATGCTTGGCACAATCCTTCAATCCAGGCAGACTTGAGAGCTTTCTATGGTTTGGGTGCAGGAGTTCAGGGTTTAGGACTGTGCTTGAGGATTTCACTCGAGGAGTCTTGAAGTTGCATATGCCCTGTGCACCCGGCACAAACGACGCGAGCGGTTACCGGTCTCCTAGGTTCGGAGTTTATTGGTTTGGCAAGACTTTTGGTGTATCACTGGTGGTGGCTGTTGCTGACCGCCAATGCTCCCGCAGGCTCGTTCGTGCTCCTCTCTGCTTCAAGCTAGAGCTGCCGATGGAGGTTGCTTAGACGAGTCGATTCCAATACCTGGGATCCCTGAGACTTGGATCGGTGAGAGTTTCTTCGCTGCTGGATCGTTCGCAGCAGGAATTTCTATATGATCCGGTAGTTTTGAAGTTTGGAGCAAAGGAAGCCGCAAAAAGCTTCAGTGTGAGGGTTTATAGTTTAGAGTCTCGAGGTCAGGGTGTGGGTTGCACCTTTCGGCCCCTGCGTCCTACGTGCGGCTTTTCGCAACAGGAGCAACCGTTTTCGGGGACGGTTCATGAAAAGTTTCGGGGTTGAATGTTTTTGGTGAGCTCGCTTCCTCCAGGGTTGCCAAATCTCCGATTCTTCGATCTCAAACGAGTTTCTTATCGTCTGTTCAGGTGGAGTCGAGGTGTCAAGGCTTTCGGGCTTTAGGATTTAAGAATCTGCATCCAAGGAGTTTGCCATCCAAACGGATCCTTGATCTCCTGAGCCAACTGTGATGATGAAAACTCCCGACGGCTTGACTATGCGACGATCTTGAGTTGTGCCTCGGCGAGCCAATTTGTCAATTTCTTTCCCGGGAGCTTTGTCAACTGCGAAGCAGCAAGAGCCGCTCAGGGAAGCCGTATCCGTTGGTAGGATTTCAGTCAGTGTGTGTGTGTGTGTATGTATTTTTGAGAGATCTCTGCAGTGTTTGCTGTCCCGTGGTTGTGTGGCAGCTGCTGTGTTGGTCGTGGGCAGCTGGATTACTAGTGCGGCTGAAACTGGTGCCTGTCTGTATTGTTTTGAATGTCATCGGAGCAAGGAATGCTTGCTGGTGACACGTTGAGTGATGCATAGTATCGGAGGCGAGTTTGGTGCAGCTGCTGCCGCTTTTGCGGTTGCTGCTGCTGAAGCTGCGTGCTGCTGTGTTGCTGTTTAGCTACGGCTCATTGTTGTGCTGCCTGGTGGGGTGATGTGAGTGGTGGCGTGTTTTCTAGTTGCGATGCGGTTTGGGTTCGCTTCACGATGTAAGTTTGAGGATATGGCCGGAACGGATAGATGTTGGCAGTCATTACCGAGAGGGGGTGATCATGATCAGTTTATGCTGTGCTGCCGGGGCTTGTGCCGCTGGTGGTAGTGGTATTGTTTGAAAGCGTCAAGATTGTAATCCGCTGCTGGTGGTGATTGCTGTGGTGATGATTCTGATGGTGATGGCAGATGGTGAGGATGTGGATGCTGTTGTTGCTGTTGTTGTTGATGATGATGATGATGAGGACGATGATGACGATGACGATGATGGCGATGAGGATGATGATGATATTGATGCATGTAGCAAACGGTGATGATGCAAGATCATCATGGTTGTTTTGTCCAGGAGGATAACGAAGCCAAAGCCAAAGGCGACGAAGGGCAATCTTGATATTGATATGTGTAGTGCCGTTGCTTGTGCCGTTGCTAGGGTGAACGCTGATGACTACGACGAAGACGACAACGACGACCACTACTCATTACTTGTTGCAATGATGAGCAGTCTGGAGGGTTTGCAACGTTGACTACGAGTATCATCGGGGCTTCATGCTTGGAGTACCGAAAGCAACCAAGGTGTCATAGAACGGCTCGCCGATGCCACAAAGGTTTACACGGCAGCACGTAAGCTCCGCAAGCAGCGCCCGCAGCGCGTGCAGCGTGCTGCGGGGGCCGCAAAGGCCGCTCCGTTCCCGTGTTTGGAGTGGCCCGAGTGGCCCAGAGCGGCAGCGGCAGTGCAGAAAGCCAAAGCCCCGTGCAAAGGCTCCAGAACAGCAGATCTCAGCAACTTTGTTTAGATGGCGCTGTATTGGTGGCAGCTGCCCTCCAGACACTGTCAGTCTGTCTCTGTGCAGACAAGGTCCTGCGAGGCCCATGCTCCCGGGCAAGGGTCGGACCGGGGCCTAGTTTGCACAGGGGCTCAGAAGGCTCAGCTACGTCGGCACGGCTTGTGATCGGTGCTAAGCAACATATCGACACATTGTGAGGAGGGAGGCTATCCGCATGCAGTGCTGTAGTGCGAAGGTGTCGAGCAGAGCAGGAGCTCCCCTGAAGAGCTTGTCTTCAGGTCGCTGCACAGCCATTGCATGCCTGATTCCTTCACGTTGCCTTTCCGTGAGATCCGATTGTTAGAGCTATAGCAGCTGACGGACTATAACCGCTTCCCAGCCTACATTGACCCTGCGGTTCTGTACCTGTGCAGAGCGCGCTGGCGTAGCTGTAGCGCGGCACCGTCCCAACTTTCGGCATATTTATGTCGAACACAGCCCTGTTGCTTAGCCTTCCGGCACCGTTAAACAAGTTTGCAGCAGAAATGAAGATTCCACACGCCTGCCTGATCCCCGTTGCGATGATGATGTTTGCTTGGAAGGATCCTCCGTCATGCCACAAGTACCTTCCATAGAGAGGGTGCCTCTTCCTCGTTCTCTCCCTACTTTCCCTCGGCACACTCGCTTTGTTCAGGGGCAACTTGAGGTGAAGATTTCAGGGCCAAGGCGTACTTAAGATTACCCTGGAGGCTGATCCGAACCTTGCCAGAGGCAAGGCAGCTTGTCATGAGGTCCTGCAATAAGATTCCGGTTCTGACTACAGCGTGGCTTCGGCTCACCTCCAGATTGCAGCGTTCGCCGAAATCCGCGAAAGGCGGGTTTCGGGCTTCGTCAGCGACATGCCAGTTGGCCAAAATCAGCAAGCGATCGGTACCGTCTTCGGAGCCCCAAGCGTGTGAATCCACCAGAGCCCAACATGATCGCTCGGCGCCCATTGCATGGTCTTCACCGCCTGCACAGCTGCATTTGCAGCTCCTGCTGGATGTAGCGTGAACCATGCAAGGCCTGCAGTGCTCACAGGGTTCTTTTGGATTCCAGAGGCCTTGCCATCTGCCCTGCGATCTAGTACCAAACCGATCAGATGGATGTGCCTGAGATCAAGGCTGTTGAGTCCACCTTCAATCGGAGGATTGTCTCACTGAGGTACTGAAGGCGACCAGGCCCCTCGGCACCTCTGGCAGTCTTGGAGGATGCGGTCTGCAGATGCAACTGCAACAGCCGTGATCGTCAATGGCCACTCCGAGGACTTCGGGGGCACGGGGCCCGTGCCGCGTTGGAAGCGTGGAAGATGCTCGAGATGCCTTCCAGTTCTGGTGAGCCTCCGAGGACCCGTCTGAGGTTCCGGTCCCAGCTTCCCGGTTCGAGGGCTTCGAAAGCTCCAAAGGTCTCTGCGATCTCTGCCATTCCACTCCGGTCCAAGGTGTCTTGTCGGATCTCGCAGCTTCAACTTCTCCGTTCTTCGAGGCTCTCTTCCTCCTCTCTGGCTGTGGCTTCAATCGCCCCATTGAAGCTGGGAAGCTTGGTGAGCCCGTGAGCCGCCGGCCGGTGTCACTGCCGCTGGTTCCGCTGATTCCAGCTCGTTCAGGCAGGCAATGATGCTGATCCGAGCTGCAAAAAGACGGAGACGCGAACGAAGCTGAGGCATCGCCCATTGCATCTCCCGTCGTGGCAGCGTCTCGTTGGGCAAACAGGGCTCGGCTAGGGTGGCGGTGAAAGGAGGTTCTCCAGAAAACAGTCTCTGAGCTCAGCGAGGGCTAGGGGAGCCGAGGCGTGCCATGTCGTCAGAGCCAACGTCTGCGCAACGGAAGGGGCCTACCCTGGGGTTCTTAAAGACGTTGCTGAGCCGGTGCCCCTCTTGGCAGACTCTCCCCTGCTTGTGGGCGGGTTGCAATGGCCGCCAGGCTTTGGAGGCTTTGGAGGCTTTGGAGGCTTCGGAGGCTTCGGGGGCTTAGGGCTCCGTCCGGCGCTCGTTCGAGGCTTGCTTTGGATCTGCGTCGCAGTCACGAGGACGAGGACGACTTGGTTGGTGCAAAGAGAGGCCACAGCTCCCAAGGCTTCGTGTGCTTCCTGCGGCGCTTTCTGCGGCTTGCGGAGTACTTGTCGGGGCTCCTGAAGCGAGCACTGGCAAAGCTCGCACGCAAGGAGCCGGAGGCTGTGACAGAGTGCCGGGTCTTCACCGAGGAGGGCCCTCTGCTGATTGAGATTTGGTTGGCATCCAGCTTTCAGAGCCTCTTCTCCCGTAACTCGTTTAGCTTGATGGCCTTGAAGGGTAGCAGGGTGCATCGCCTGCAGAAGTTGCCAAGCACAGGTAACCAGCTCCGGTTCTTCAACTTCCTCTTGTCTTCCCGAGCTGAGTGTCATCCGGCCTCGGCCTGTGCCTCCGTCGTCCCTGTCCTCCAGCCTGGTACAGCAGACAGCGGCAAGATGAGCCTCGTGGCTGCAGATCGCAAACCACGCCAAAGGGGGCCCGGCCTTCCCGGCCTTCCCAAGGCGTCCTTCTGCCCTTAGTCCGAGGCCTCCTCTCGCAGCTGGACCGGAAGCGATCGGAAGCTGCCCACGCAGACGCGGGCCCTGGCCGCTGGCCCTGGCCCTGGCCGCTTGCCGTGTTGTGGCCTTGGAGGCGACGGTCCTCCGAATCTCCACCACCAGCCGCCGTGAGAGGCCGCCTCCCTATGCCATCCTGGCCCTGAGCGGCCCAAGCGGCCCAAGCGCCTACAAGCGGAGGAGTGCCAGGAGTGCGAGGCTGTAGCGCTTGCTGGCCTAGCTGCGTGCAAAGATCTCTTCTCGCTTCCTCCTTTCTTTGCAGAGGGCTGCTTGGACATGAGAGGTCTCGATGCAGTTGTCTTTGGTGCAGGGGAGGTCGGCGAGGTCGGTGAGGTTGTGTGGCTAAGGCCCCCGTCCGGCATGTCAATGTGTTGTCTCGCACGTCTTTTGCCTTCCCTAGCGGCTGGCCCGACGCCCCGCAACCTCAGTGCGAGTTCTTGGCGCTTGGCTCTTTAGCCAGCTATGACGTCTTCCGCGGGCATCAGGCATTTAAAAGGGCATAGTTGTCGAAGGCTTCGCGGCGCGACGGGCGATGGCGTGACGGCTGCTGAACTGTCTTCCAGTTGCGCAAGCGCCGAGCCCGAGGCAAAGTCAAAGCTTCGCCTAGCTTCCCATTATGACTTTAAAAGCCTTTATCAGGTGCTGGTTCTCCAGTCTCCTGCTTCCACCCGCCTGGTAGAACCCTCTGTGTACATTCAGCCACGGGAATGCCCGGCAGGACGGCGGTGGCTTGCCAGAACTCCGGCGCTTCATTGAGTTGTGGAGTAGCAGCATGAAGAGCTCCCGTGCGATGCGCTGCGAGATACTAGGCTGTCCCGTCCTTCCCAAAGCCTTTTTGAAGAAGGTGAGGTGTCTGCAGAGCCGCCTTACCTGTGGCTGTGCCAAACGTCTGATCGGAACCCAGGGGCCCGAAAGGCCTGCGATCGACACGCAGCTTGTCCAAATCCAGGCGGAGCCCGGCCCAACACCTCTGAGCTGCAGGAAGACTGTTACGCTGTAGTGTTCTCTTGTTGCTGAGAAAAAGCTTCTGGTGCGGCGGCGGCGTGCCGTTTTGGTTAGCGAGTGTCGAGCCCGGCCCCGGCGGCCCCGGCGGCCACGGGCCTCTCCGAAGTCCGCTGATGGTCTCACGTGGCCAGGTAGGCCACGGTCTCTCAAGGAGTCGCCTGATCTGTGAGTTTTCGCAATTCGGATGCTGTCTCGAGGTCGACTATGACTGCGACCTCGGCTTCACTTCTCCAGATGATGGCCAGTTGGGTTAACATCTAGCCAGATAGGCCGCAGAGCTCAGAAACTTGTTCCCATGCCGAGCTCTCCGCTCGTTCGAGCCTATGTTTTGCACACAAAGCCTAGGCTGCAGGTGGTTAAGCTTCGGAGCGGATTGGCTTCTAAGCTTCGGGCAATTTCGGTTGTGGTTGTAGCTGATGTTGTGGGTGTATCCGATGCTGAGGTTTGATCTCTGGAAACTCCCATACCTCCGCCCCACGACCACAGACGTCGCAGAGCTCTTTCTGAGGCCCGTGCAAAAGGTCTCCCTGCGGGAGCCCGTTCGTCATAAGAACGTTTGCCGACGAAGCTCTGAAATACAAGGGGAAATTGGTTGGCATTTTTGGGACACGAAGCTGAGCTCCGAAATAGAAGTAAGCTTGGCATTCCACTAGCATCTATGGCAAAGTGGGCTCTGCTCCGATCCATGGCTGAAGTTGAAACTAGAAAAGCCTGCGGCAGCAGGAGGGGGCATCGAAGATGAAGCAACCCCGGACCCAGTTGCCCTGTTCCCTAAACGAGGGGGCGTGATGCTTCAGGACTCAGGTTGACCGAACATCACAGGACGTCTCCAAGCCGCTGGCTTCAGCCCGCCCCCCAAATTCTTCGGGTCCCGCCAGCAAGTGCACTTTCAGCTCAAAAATTCTCTGGTAAAGGGACGGCGCTGAGCCTCCGGATGTCTGATTGCAAGCGGCTGGCACAATGGCAGAGGGGCTGCCAGCTTGCCTTCAGGTGCTGCTTGGGGGCTCCGAACCCGTGAGGTTCATGCCAAATGGCGTCTCCGCAAGGTGCCCTCAGCTCGTGTCCTGGAAGTGTCGGATCCTGGAAGCCAAAATGTCCGACATTTCCCAAACTGCGGATTTCGCGTAATCTCTGTGCACCGGCTAATGTTTCCTTTGAGGCAAGCTTTGGGCAGCACTCGTGAAGGCAACGTTCCCAGGCATGTCCTGCACCCAAGGTTGATGAGAAACCGCGTGGCAGCAGTCTGGCTCTCAAGATGCAAGCGTTGCGTTGACAAAACTGGAAATGGGTGCTGTGCTCAGATGCCCGCTATAGCTCAGTGCAAAACTGCCGTGGCACCGCTCTTTCTGTGACAGCGTACTCTGGGCCGGTTGCCTCCACGAAACAGAAACAGCCTGAGAACCTAGCGGACCTAGCTGGGGCTGACTTCTCGCTAACCAACAGGCATGCAAGGAACTGCAGCAACACTTTCTCTGGATTCTTCTTCCCCGTCCAAATCGTGTTTATCCAGGAAGCAGCAACGAGGAGTTCCGTACCTATTCTGCATCAAGCTCACGATATGCTCTGCTTTGTCACTCCATAAGGACGGTTTCTGTTCACCTGTTCTCGCCAGCCTTCCGTGCAATTGCAGTAAGAGGTGGGTCTTCCTGCCCTTGCTGAAGGCATCGAGGGTTGGGGAACGCACATTGCTACGGCAGGCTCTGCAGAAGCCTTCCTGTTCGAGTGTTACCGGAGCTCGCGGTCGCACAGTTGAGGGAACCTGCTGGCCGGGTCTGGAAGAGGCCAGCATTTGCAGTCACGCCTGCATGCTGCCAATGCCCATTCCATTGACTCACGGCGAGTCTGTCACTAGGTGCATCAAGCCCGAGGATAGGTTGCATCAGAAGTTCTGTAAAGTTTGGGGAATGCCACAGACCTTGGTGTTGTCAAGAACTTGGGCTGCAGGCCAAGTGTTGTCAAAGACTTGGGCTGCAGCCCAATGTTGCAGAAATGGATGGCTGAATTGCTCGGCGTGTTTTTCGCAGTGAGCCCGAGCCTGAATCCTTCCCTCTCTGCAGTGTACGCTGTGTGCTTCTCGCACGAAGAATGCTTTCTGATTGCTGGACTTCCAGGCCAGAACCACGGAGTCATGGGTCAAGCAAAGTTATTGCACATCTCTCCCACCAAGCTCTGCTGGAACCCGACTTTGCTAAGCTTGCTTTCTCCTCTCAGCCCGAGCCTCTTTCGAATGCCAAAGGTGGTATCTGCCTCAGCCTGACTATCAGCGCCACCAGCACCCGCAACACCAGCAACACCAGCACTGCCAGCCCTCCCTTTCCTGCCATGCGACGACAGCAACCCGTTTGGGCTCTCGGACCTCCGAGAAGCGGAGCGCTTGCACTCTCAGCCTTCGGCCTCCCCGTCTGCTCAGTGGAAGCATGTCATTGAAGCACATTGAAGCTGGAGAGCCCCAATTGAGGTGCCTTCGGCCCCTTTCATCCGGGGTGCGACCTATTTATTTCATCATGAGCGTTTTGGCTTGGCAGTTGCAGTCGTGCCAGCCCATGCCTATGCGAGGTTCGTTGGGCAACACGTGGTGCGAAGTGCCTACCTCCCTCGTCTTTGGTCGGTGGGTGCAGAGCCAGAGGTGCAATTGGCGGTTCCAGTGCTGTCCAAAGTCTATATGCAAAAGAGCTGTCCACCTAGCAGGCATTGCAATGCCCGTGCATTGATGCAAAGCAGCCGTGTGAATGACCTGCCCCTATCTGTTTGGTACATGATGAAGCTGCTAGCTTCGCAACTTCACCATCGCAAGGAGCTGTCAACAGCTGCAGAGATTTCTGGCCAGAGTTGCCGCGCAAGTCCCACTTGCTCTCCACCTTCTGTTATGCTGCAAAACCAAACCACGAGTGTCTGCACCTCATAGTGTCTCTAAGTTTAGTTTTTAGAAGACGACATTATCTAGCAGGCATCTGCAACACCAGTGCATTGATGAAAAGCAGCCGCGTGAATGACCTGCCCCTATCTGTTTGGTACATGATGAAGCTGCTAGCTTCGCAACTTCACCATCGCAAAGAGCTGTCAACAGCTGCAGAGATTTCTCGCCAGAGTTGCCGCGCATGTCCCACTTGTTCTCCACCTTGTGTCATGCTGCAAGACCTAACCGCCAGTGTTTGCACCTCATAGTGTCTCTAAGTTTAAATGTCAAGAGATGTCACCGATGAACGTGCAAGCACCGCTGAAAGCTCAGTGCCCCCAGAGCCAGAGCCAGAGCTCCCCGAAGAAAGGCTCTAGGTCCCCGGCTGCTTCATTGCTTCGAAGCTGCCGAAGCCTGCTGGGGGAAGGCCTCAAAAGCTTGGGCGGCCCGCCTTCGTCTTCGAGCGAAGGTCGGCCGTTTCGGCCGTCTTCTCCTCTTCCCACGTCCATCTGAGTCTCCCAGCAAAACAAGGCCCTCTCAAGGAGGGCTCCTGCACCGTGTCCCTTCTCAAAAAGCGCAGAACCCGAACGCAGGGACCCGCCTGCTCCCCCCTCCTTCAAGCGCCTGCAGGCATTCAGCTGGTGTGCCACAGTGAGATCTGCCCTGGTTCTGGGCGTTTGCGGCCCGAACAGTCTGCAGTTTGTTTGATTCATGCAATGCTCCTCCTCTGCGCCCGAGCTCCCAGGGCGCAACGCAGAGCGCCAGTCCTAACGAAGTGTCCCTTGCCAACATCTGCATACTCAAAGCCGTCCTGGCGGGTGAAGTTCTGCATCCAGGCAGCTTCACGCCCGCCATCAGAAGGCAACGAAGGGGACGAGTCCAATGAGCCCAAAGGCGATACCAATTGCAGAGTTTTGCCGGGAGCCTCTTGCAGCCTCATGTGCCGTCAAGATGATGCCGAGACCTGGTTTGAGCCCAGAAGATCGGCCCCAAGCCGTTTGCAGGCCGACGGTATCTTGGCAGAGGCTGTCGACCTTGGTAGCTTCGCCCTCCAGGCCCAGGCTGTCCACTCCTGTGAGCCTTAGCCGCATATCTTCGCCTGGCACCCGTTCGTGATCGTCCCGTTCGTGGCGCACAGCGCGCTCTTTCCTCGGCTTTGGCGTCCTCGTGTCCTTGACAGGCTGCTCTGGAAGGCCTGGAGTTCAATGTGCACTGAGCAAGGTGGAGTCTTGTCTTAGCCCAGTACCTCCCGCGACCTTGAGTCTGAGTGGCTCCTCAAGTCTGTCCCGCGTGGTTGTGCTCCACTTGAGAGCTCTGACATGCTTGTGCAATAGCGAGGTGTCGGGATGCTGTTTTATGGACATTGTTTGTGCACTGCGGCAGGCTGATCGGCAGGGTTTGCGAAATGGTCTTTCAGACAGAGCTCTGATGACTCCGGCTCAAAGAGGTTTCGGGAGGCTGTTTTCTGGACCCTCTTTTTGCACTGCGGCAGGCTACTCAGGATTTTGCTCGTTGTGCATGCACGGTAGCGACCTGCAGCAGGAGAGGCCGTGAATCAAGCCTTACACCGCTTCGTCTCCATCACGCCTTGCGGAGCGCTTCCATCAATACGAGCCTTGAGCCAGAAAGTAACACCCCAGACGCTTGCTTGTGCGTGAAGACTTGCGGTATGAACTTGAGTTGCACGCTGCCCTCCTGCGAGGCCACCCAGGCGTTTGTCTGTGGAAAGCCGAACAAATTGCCTTGGCCGAGTCTTGTAGTGCGCATGTGCCAGTTGTGTCTTCAAGCTTGCCAGACTCCTGCCCGTGCAGAACCCGCAGCTTAGGTAATGAGGAAGAGAGGCCAAAGCCTGTTGGAAAAACGGCGTGAAGACCTTGCAATGCTTACTTTCCATTTCCCCTGCCGAGCACTTCCGTCAAAATAAGCTTTGAGCCAGCAGCCAGTCGGCGAGACGATTGCTTGTGTCTGAAGACTTGCGGCATGAACCTGAGTTGTGCGCTGCCCTCGTTCGAGGCCACCCAGGCATTTGTCTGTGGAAAGCCGAACAAATTGCTTTGGCCGAGTCTTGTAGTGCGCATGTGCCAGTTGTGTCTTCAAGCTTGCCATGCAGGCTCCTGTCCCCGCAGACAGCTGTGCATTGCAATCCAGATCCGTCCCGGCTGTGTTTTTCACGCCCGCCTGTTTCCAAAACTCATCAGCTCCACTCATTCGTCTCCCAAGTAGGATTCCAGACGGTGTCGGGACGCAAAGGCGGAGTGTCGCATTTCTACAAACGAGTGATGCCGGGGCCGCAGGAGCTCGTTTACAAGGAAAGTCTTGCCAGGATTACGAAAGCACCTGGCAAACTTCTAAGCCGCTGAGCCATTGGCGGGGAGAGGTGGCAGTCGACGTGGATGTGTCGTAGCGGATCGTAGCAGATCCTAGATGTACCTTTAGAGTCGGAAGTTTACAAACTAGATGTACACGCCCGGATCCGGGTCCGTCCGAGCAGGTTTGGACTGGCTGTGCTCCCAGAAGCACTCTTGAAGACTCAGGAGTCACATCCCCCTGCCTTGCCTGTAAGGGCATCTACTGCGAGGGTCCCGCATGTCGGGATGCCTTGTGGTCTTTGCCGCAGCACTGGCTCCTTGAGCCTCTGTCTCTCTGCAGACAGCTCCTTGGTGGGACGAGCCTTTTTGATGGGATCGGCTTCGTGAGCTCACGGCCGAGTATTGGCTCTTAAGCTGATTCCGGTTGGAGGGATGAAAGAGGTCGCTAGGCGAAGGACATGCTCTATCACAGCCCAAGTCACCGATTGGGCTGGCGTCGGAAGACAGTGCACCATCCACTTTTGCTGTGGCGGTGAGCTCCCCGCCAGGATGCCGCAGATTTCCTCCATGATTTCTGAGAAACCCTGTTCTGCCACGCCAGGTCTTCCTGTGAATCTCAACCAAGAAAGCACCCTCAGCACGGACATCACTTGAGCAGCCCCCGAGTCGGACTCTATCTGGGCTATGCGCTGCCCAAGGCCCAAGGCCGATTCCTCGTGAGAACTGGTCACTGCCGGCCACCAGAAAGTTGAAGATGGATTGAGGAGGTGAAAGCCAGGGAGGTAGCTTTACTTTCCAAGAACCTGCGAGAGAGAAGCTAAGAAAGTGCGCAGCCTATTGCTGCAAAGGTTGCAGAACTGAAAAGTCACAAAATCCCCCCCGGTTGCGTCCAGGCCTGGAAGCTGTCTCTGGGGCCAAGCCCTCGGTGAAAGCGGCGCCTTGAGTCAGTTTAGTGTGGTGGATGGTGCGTAGCGGGCGTAGCGCTCCAGCTCCAAACTTAGCCAGGCCCAGGCCACAGCAAGCTGGGGCCGCAGCCGTGGAGGTGCACAGCACAGGGTGGAAGGGAACCCCTCGTTTGGCGCCTCCAGGCCGCTCGTTGCTCCTGTGAAATGCTTGCAGATTGCTTGGTGCAATCTGCTGCCCATGTCAGGACCTCTGAGATGTGTCATCTGAATCCGCTTCTTAAAGCACGACTCGGACTCCCGCTTGCCAGTCATCGTTCCCAGCTACTGAAGCCTGTCGGGGCCGACTTCAGAAAGTCGCCAGGCTGCCTGTGCCACGCCTCGGAAGCCCCTTACGGAGCTCCGGCGTTCCCCACGTAATCGATGCCTCCTTAGCTGCCTCTAGGTCTCAGCCCGCCTCTACTCTGGCCCTTGCAGCGTCGACCTCTGTCACCTGCAAATCTCCCAATGCCAAGCCACGATCCGTGAGCCAACGAGGTTGGGCTGTTCCTGCTTACTTCCGAAACCTGTCCGTCTTCAATCGACATGACATGGCAGGCTTGGGGGCCAAGCTGGGTTTTACGTGAAGGCACAGCGGGAGCCATCAGGCCTCAGAGCGTCTGCCAACACTTGCCCCCCATTTTTGTTCATCAAGTGCCATCTCAAAGACACAGGAAGGGTCGAAGGGACGGGAGGGATGCGGGCAGGGGCTTTAACTTTGCGCTCGGAGCGTGGCAGCGCCTGATTGACATCGGCCTCGCCCTCTCCGTCCCTTTCCTTGCAGTCACTTGCCGCCGAAGCTCAGTGAGAGACTTCAGGACTTACGTCCGAGCGAAAGCTCCGGGGTCGGCCATCGCGGCCGTCGGATGGCGCCAGGATGCTTTGGTTTTGGGGGGGGGGAAGTTGCTGAAGTGCTGAAGCAAGCCGCTGGCACCGTCCTGTGCCGCTTTCGGCAGTGCAGCAAGGCTCCTGGCGTCCAGGAACCCGAAGGAGCAAGGCAGTTGCGAGAAGGCAGGGTGCTTCTGGCGCTTTGCCATCGCCCGCTCGACGTTGCTCCTTCAACCAACCCGATCTGCCTTGTTTGAAAGCGCTGGCTCTGGAAGTGCAGACCAGCATTCTGCCAGGGTGTTTCGTGACGCAGACCTTTAGGGCCCCTGAAAAAGCCCAGCAGTTCCCAAGCCCAAGCAAGGCAAGGAAGGCAACGGCAAAAATGGTCGACCTCGGCTCAGAGTCTCTCTATGCCATCCCCAGAAGAAGCCACCAGTGAGAACCCTGCTCCTCTGGAATGGGCACCGTGAGGGCACCACGCTTCCTAGTTATGTCACCCCTGGCCCTGGCAGCCGTCACCAACTTGTCTGCAATTTTCCCCTCGGTCCATGTCTCTTTCAAAGTCTGATCTTGCATCTCTTCTTCCTCAGTTTTCCTGGCAGTCGTTCTGCTTCCTCTCCCGGCAACCGGCCTCTTGCCTGGCCAGGCACTGGAGCCTCCGCACTTGCGGCCTGCATCTGCTTCGAACGGGCATGGCACCTTCCTTGCCGAGAATCCTGGTGTGCGCGGGACCGCCACCCGAAAGCGATAGACCCCTTTGCCTCATTCCGCGACCTTAGTCGTCGCATGTCACTGCTCGCCTCTCCGTCTTTCCGTTAGCCGAGCTTCAGAGCACGTACCAGCCAAACGGCAGCGAAGTTGTGCGAGCGCTCCCCAAGGAGCCTCCCGGTACCTAAGGTCTCGGAAGGCTGCATCTGACGACAGTTTGATATCTCTACGGCCAATTTAACGCTGTTTTGAGCCAGATGCATCTTCTTTGCGAGGGCAAGGGCCCCAGCGTGCCCAGCCGGACTCCCAAGCTCCTCTGAGCGTAACCCGGAACCCGTTGCACCAGGCCGGCTGCGAGTGATCAACCTCCGACCCAGTACCCGTCACTGTAGTGGCATGCGATCCGCTGTCCTCCTTCCACGCGCTGCGAAAGAAGTTGCTACCATTAAGACGGCTCCTGATACAAAGCGCCTCGTGCAGAGCCTCCTCGTGGAGCTGGGTGTGGCTGGCGTCCCTGGCGTCCCTGGCGGCCCCTGTCCTGTGTTTCGAGGAGTTCAGAGACGGAGTTCGACTCCCGTAATTCACGCTGGCTGTGCCTTCAATGTCAGCTTCAAGCTCAAGGGGCGGCCCAAGCAGGAAGCTCCCAGTGGAGCTTTGCGGGCCGCTGGTTGTCGCAAGGCAACCTTAAACTTAGTGCCTTCCGAGGTTAGCCTCGCATGCTCTCCTGTTGAAGGCCTGAGCCTTGATGTTTCGGACAATGCTCTTGTAAGCAGGCGCGCCCGTGCGCTTGGTGCTGACTTGTCCATAGCCACCTTGCCGATTGCAGCATTGCAGGCGCACCTGGCTGCTCTGAAAAACTCTATGAAGGCTTTTCAAGCCAAGCGTCCAGTCAGATGTGCTGGCTGGCATAGTGGAGCACAACTTGCACGGCCCAGGGTTCACTAGATAAGCAGCCAAGCTTCCTCAAAGGCCTTCAGAACAAGACACTGGGAGCTTCAGCCTTTCCCTCTGAGTTCCTCGCTCTCTACAGCACCTGCTCCCGGCGCACCGAGACAGCAAGGCCTCTTGTAGTCGAGTGCACCCTCCACGTCGCGAGCCTTGCATCACAAGGTCGAGTGGGCTCCATGGTCCATAAAGCAGCCGCAGAGGGTCGTGCGTGCCAGGTCTGCCAGGTCTTGCAGCCGCTTCTGCCCCGAAAACCGCAAGGTTTGATGTCCCTTTGCCGGCAGGCGAAGGTGGCTCTGCCACCATCCGCCTCCGGTGGCCATCTGAGCTCTGTGAGCCGTGCTGTGCCAAAAGGGAAGGCTGCAGCCTGGGAGCCTCAGAGCCTCCTCTGGGGAAGCTTAGAGGAAGACTCCTCCTTCACTGTCACCGCTGCCCCCTTGAGATCAGATGAGGGCGTGGAGTTACGACCACTAACCAAGTGCAGCAGGCGACCCAAGTATAAGAGGACGCTTGTGATTGGAGGTGCTTCTGCATATGGCTCTTAACGTCTCCTTTGCCCACCACCGCACGCACTCAAGGTTCGACCAGTGGTAGCCGGGCAGCTGCGAGTGTCAAGGGGTCAGTTTCCCGAACGTGCGCTGCCACAATGAGCTCAAAACAGCGGCTTTGCTCCTGAAGCAAGCTTCTGTCTGTCTGCAAGTGGCGCTTGAAAGCCCTTCTTGCCCTCTGCGGACTTGGGCCTTGATGGCAACGCACCAACCTGTTTTGTTTCATGTCACCGACACACCCGCGCCAAGGACACGATGCCGCTTTCAAGCACCGTGCCGTTCCTGTCAAGGCGGTCCGAATGCGCAGGAGGCCCAGAACCAGAGCTCTGCTGAGATAGCAGAGCTCTTGCTATCCACACTCTGCTTGCCTTGCTTGTTGCCTCTGTCGCCAGCTCCTTTGCCGCGCTTCGACTCAGCTTTGCCTTAAAGGTTTCCACCAAAGCGCACTTCCGAAGAGCGCTGCAGCTACAACCTGCACACTCAGCACTAGACTGTTGCCGCATCTTCGCAAGCAGCCCTGCTGTCGATTTGAAATCCTACCGTGCATCCAGATGCAGCCATCTACCTTGACTTTGCTGGTAGACCTTCCAATATCGGAGATGAGGCCTTGCTGCATCCATGTTCTGCCTCCCCAGCAGGTCGCTGAGAAATGTTCAGAGGCCTGTTGTGCACCTCGTGTACTCTTCCGTGTCACCTGGAACTTGGTAGGACGGCAGCCCATTCCCAGGTCACGGTCTGTCGACAGCAGAAGACTCCCGCCAGGAACGCCTTAAACATGTGTGGGACTCCACGGCACAAGTGTACTTCACTGGCCGTGCCTTTTTTGTTCGGGAGGCAGGGCTTGCAGCCAACCCCTTGATGGGTCGCATGTACTGAGCCAGTCTTGAGTGTCTGACAGATGCGGCCTTCAGTGACAGCAGACAGCCGGCCTTTGCATGGCAATGCACCCCATGGCCTCTCACCTGCGAGGATCTTGCCAGGTGACAGAGCAAAGCATCGGCAGTTCAGTCTGAGATCAAGGCCTGTGTTCATGTTCCGTGCTCAAAACAGAAATAAGCCGGCGTTGATCTGAGCAAGCAGTGACATTGGCCTGCAGCATGTTGCAGACCAGCAGACAGATCCCATGTCATACAGTTTACAGTCTCTTCCGATATTCCTTCCGAGATTCTTTTTCAAGTGCAACACGAAGACCAACTTTTTGTAGAGATTTCGTGGAGCATGCATGCATGTTCCCGAGCTTCCCTCTTTCTGATGCCCCCGTCACGCACGCGAGGCTTGAAGTCAGGACAGGCACTCTCAGCGCCTGCCTTTGGTCAGCCCTTGCTTGGCATCAATCGAAGAATTGCAGCATTCGCACGGCTTCCCCTTGCCGCCAGAAGCTTCCAACCGTTGTCTCCTTGAGGCACCAGAGATTGAAGAGGCCCCCGACGTGCCCTTCTGTGTTGGAGTCGCGAAGAACTGCGACCATTTGCCCGGGCCAGGCTTGACAGACTCAAGGCCCTCAAAGCTCCGGTCGCTGTCTTTAATCACTTTGGTCACGCCTTCTTTGCAGGGGCTCAAGAAACCCACTCAGCCCACGTGCTTCACATGCCCGGAGTTAGGTCTGATAGATCAGGGTCTCATCGTGCAGAAGGGCAGCAGCTGAGGGCAAAGACGTGTGATGGCACGGTTCCATCTGCCCGGCTTTCCCAGCACTGGGTGCACCGACCCATGAGACATCCAGCTCCTTTCCTCCCGTGAGTTGCGCCCTAGGCAGGGGCTCGGTCCCCGGCCGTTCTGCAGCTGTTTGCTACCAAGTCAAGGTCAGAGTCATGCCTGTTCTTCGTGGTAATGTGCGACGAAGGTCACGGGAGGCCACAGGCCTTGCGTTGGAGGTGATGCTCGCAGATGCCCCTATCACAGCTTCTCGTCCTGGCTGCATGCCCAACTACATCGACCCGGCTTCCCGAGACTGTTTGACATTTGCCGGATGTCATGCGAGGCCTGCAGGCAGAAGCAAGCTGCGCTTTCCTTCGCCAAGATGGGCTCAGGCGGGCGCTTGCCGGCGGGCGCAGGCCGCAGGGGCCGTAGGGCATGCCGCAGGGCATGCGAACGTGGTCAGCAGTCGGAGATGGCCGTCGGCGTCGCCGTCAAAGTATTTCCCACCAGCCTTCAAGAAGAGAGACCAGGACAAGGAGACGATATTCAGGTGCTTGCAACGCCTGCAAGGCTTGCAAGGCTTGCAGCTACACAGAAGGGACATCCACGACGTGGGCCATTTGTTCGATGCGACGCTGACAGGCTCTCGTCCAAGCTTCATTCCGACTTCCGGGAAGGCCCCCAGAGACCACAGTTGTCGAAGGTCCGACGCTGTCACAGCTGTCCCAATGACGGCTCACAGAAGAAGCGCCTTTTATCCTCCTTATCTCTGTCTTGCCTCCTCCAAGCTTGTTTGACGGCATGGGAGAAGAGTCCTACCAGCATCTGTGCTCTGACGAAAGGTCCCGGGACTCAGGTGGTGCTTGGACCGCGTTTAGACTTGAGCCACGGGCCATCGATTTGCTCCACCACCCAGGGCACGGACTCCGGATAATTGTCGGCCTTTGCATTTCTGCTTGTGAGAAGTCATCGCGGTTCCACCTGAGATCTCAGCATAAACCCCTCGCCACCCTGCCTGCGGGGCGAGGGTTGCGTTTTTTGACGGGTGTGACCGTTTACGCAGTGGTCCCGTTCCGGCCAGGTACCTTTTCACGCAGGTGGTCCTCGCGGCACCCGTGATGCACACGCCGACGATCTTGCACCGAGACTCTGGGTCGGCTTCCTGCGCGAGCGTTTCCATGAGAGGGCCAATGTCCGATGACGGCAAGCTCTGAGCCTAAGCCAGACGGGAGTCTCCAGGGCTCATGTCGGCTCATCGCCGGCACTGTGCTGCATGTCGGCTTTAGTTCATTCAAGGAGGAAGTGTTAATACGAAGTTTTGATTTGGTTGTTCGAATCCGCCAACAGGACCTGCAGTCGCATGTTCCTTTGCTATAGCCGTTGTGGGCGATGCCCATGTCCATCTTCATATCTTCGGTTGTGCACACAAGAATTTTTTGGGCGGCGCGCGCCCTCTAGTGCCTCTTGCGGAGTCACCAATGCAAGTGTCCAGACACACTGTGCAACTGCTGCCTCTTGAAGCAAATCCAAAGAAGCTGAAGAAGAAGGCCTGCTTCATCGGATCCCACCTACCATCCCAAGCAGTCGCTGGATGTACCTAGTCGCGCAAGAGAGATCTGGCGTTGACTCCCCATTCTGTGCCGGTGACCCTTGCTAGGGATCCGCAGATATCTGCAACTGTCCCTGTCGCGACACTGTTCAGCCTGGCTATGTCTGAAGACCTGAGATAAGGGTGACTTCATGGTATCGGGTGAGTCTGGCCGTGCGCCCGTGCACGGTGGGGGAGAGGAGCTGAGAACCAGCGTCCTCAGATCCCTGCGTCTCCAGCTTCCACAGCCTCCACAGCCTCCATGTCCTGCAACATCCTTTGCTTGCATGCGTTGCGTGCGAAAAAAGCATGAGGCATTGCCGGGCTTGCCGGGTGCACTGATCCCCGCGAGTGTTGCCGGGTGGCCGTGGAGGCCAAGGCTCAGTGAGCTGTCCCAAGTCCAACCCCCGCAGTCGGTCGCCCAGTTACCGCTAGCCAGCAAAATGCGCAGGCAAGGCTGCCAAGAGGCTCTGCTTCGCTTAGTTCGCTTAGTTTGCTTTGATTCTTCTCGCGCCTCCAGGTCGGTCAGGAAGCTGATCCTGCCTGCGGCGCTTGATTGACCCAGGTGCAGTTCGCTCTGCGCTCAGGACTCCCGCACTCGCACGCTGCCGCAAGGCGTCGAAAAGCCCTACACTTCGGTCATGGAGTGGTGTTTTGAGTTTTGGGCATCTGGCTCGGCTTCTGGGTTCTGGCTGTTCTGTAGGGACCTGGGCACCAAATCCTCAGAATCTCAGGGTCGCGTCTGTGCATGCATGTCTTTCCAAAGCCGCCGCTTCAAGCATCACGTCCAGAAATCCAGCCAGAACATGATTAACATCAACTTGATATCTGCACCCTCCCAAAACTCTCCAACTTACCGGCGCATCGAAAGCCCAACCCCGGAATCCCGGAATACTGCAGCCTCGGCCCTCCATTTTCCCAGCTAGGGCGATGCAAAATATGAGGATCAATAAGATGAACATGTATATGCATTATGTATTATGAATATATATTAAATATATATATGTATACATATATAAATATATATATATATATATATATATATATATATATATATAGTATGTATCTTATACACACGTAGATGGATAGATCAGACTGATCAAGAGATAGATATGGACATAGATATAGACATAGACATGGGCACAGATTCAGATATTATATGTGTGCAATACCAACCAATTATACGCATATGTATATATACACACGTACAGCCCATTTATACATGTATATATATATATATATATACATATATACACATACACATACATATCCTCTCTCTCTGTCTCTCTCTCTGTCTCTCTCTCTCTCTCTCCAAAAAAAGTTTGTTTATATATATATATATATATATATTTATATTTATATTTACAAGCAAATATATACACATACACACGGACATTTTTTCAGAGAGAGATACCGTACCCCCCCTCTTCAGCCCCCACCCCCCTCTACACAGAGAGAGCCTAAACCTATGGGCAGCGAGCCTCGCAGCATCGCCGGGCTCTTGCGGCAACGAGGCGCTCTCTGGGGCCTTTGGGCTGTGGTGACTCTCATGATTCCTAATGGTAGATATTTGTACATGTAAATGTATGTATGACTCACTGTATGTATGCATGTATGTACGTATGTATATATATATATATATATATATTTTTTTTTTTGCATGCTGCCCCTGATAGTAACTCTGAGACGCTGCGGGCTTCTCAGGAGCTTCGAGCCTTGCAGGCCCTAGGCCCTACTTGTAGCCAAACGGCCCTCATGGTCCACGCCTTGTCTTCTCGGGGCCCAGGGTATCACATCCAGACGTACCCGAAACCTTTTAGATTGTTATAGTATTATAGTAGTACAATGTTAGAATATTATAATATCATGATATTATACTATTGTAATATAGTATTATAGTATTAAAGTATTGACCCTAAAGCCAATGCTCTGAAGGCAAGGCGGTCGTGTGGGGTTTGGCTTCAGGGCCCAGGCTTTGGGCTTGTTTTCTACGAGCAGAGGGGCAAACAGCGATTCCGTTGCTTGAGCAAGGCAGCGGGGAAGTCTCTCGTGAAGAGTTCTTTCACCGCCGGATGCTTGGGCACGGTTCAGTTCCTGACTTTGTCTGGAAACTGGAGGCTTGTCATAAGGTGTCCGTAACTGGCCGACACCACCGTCTAAACCAGTGACCTGCGACCGATCCCAGATGTGCACAGTCGGAGAGATGGTTCCGGGCGGTTTAGGTCGAGCATGTTCTGCAGAGCCAAACTTTTCGGCTCAGCTAGGTTTGCATTCGAGTTGGAGGGTTTAGTTCTTCTGGGATGGGCCGGGATGGGGGTTGAAGTGTGTTCGGCTGTCCAGTGCAGGACGAGGACGACAAGATGTCTTGGCTTATTGCCTCCGGTCGTTCGTAAAACCAAATCCAACAATCTATGCGAACGGGCAAGTCCTGTCGCACATCCTTTGAGCAAGGTCTGGCAGAGCTGCAGCAGGGAGGTGTGGAGCCTCAGATGTTGATGGTTTAGCAGGCTTAGCAATTGCTAGGCGTGGGATGCACGCATGGGACCAGGCAGCAGAGAGGGAACAGACGAGATACCCTACATACCCACCATCCTTCATGGCGATCTCGTACCCTTTGCATCTTGAGGGCAGGCCTTTGGATTATTGAAGCTTCATATTTTTTGGGTGGTTTAGTGCGGAATAAGTATGCCACTCGCCGCCCCAAATTTTCATAGAGTTTAAGGGCACTGTGGTTTCGGCACAAATACGCTTAAAGAAAACTGTTTTCTGGCACATGCACGTGGTCATACTTCGCATGCGGGGGCATGGTAATTGAGAGGCACAGCAATGCAAGACGAAAGGCAGTGGACGCTAGAAAACACCGACAATAAAGACTGTAACAAACACAGCAAGAGCAGAAGTCGTTAGGTTTTGGCCGCGGATGCTCTGCCCTTCCCAAATCGCACCATGCGTGTCATTAGGCATTGGCCATGGATGCTTTGCTCCCAAGACGACGAAACCGAAACGGCCCGCCGTGTCAGACTTCCGTGCAAAAACACAAGGAGGGCGCGAGTTTCTGTCACGACAAAGGCGAACGGCCACAACCTCCCGTGACGACCTCGTGCCTTATTGTTCTCGACGAAGACGGCTTTGAGCAGAAGTCCAAGATGCTGTAAATACCACAGTTGTCCACCAAATGCTGTAAATGATCGCATTTGGAGGACCCCTCTCGTCTCCACCGCAGCCGCAAAACAATCGAAGATGCAAAAACACCGCAAATACCTGTGAATTTGGCTCCCTCTCGAAGCCGGACATCCGACTCTCCCAACCCCGGCCGGGTGAAAGGTGCCCGTGGAAGGGGGGGCTGGCTTGCCCCATTCGTTCTGTATACGGACACTGAACCTGCTGGGCAATAGCTGAAATCGAGAGCAGACAGGATTCGGAGGTTTTTCGTCGTTGCATAGGAGCCACAGAGTTTAGGTGTTGGTCATAGGTCTGTAAAGACTGGGCCTTGGAGACCTCGTCTGCTTTTTTATCCGGGTTTTGTTTCTTTTGGGCTTCAGGCTTTGCGTTTGAAGGAAAGGAGCCTGCAGCTGTTGCTGGGATGTTTCAGGGGCCTTCGTAATAATCAGCTTCGTGACTAAGATTGCACGGAAGCGAATCCACTAGTCGCATGTCCCACTTTCGCTGAGGCCGAGCTGAAAACGAGCCAGCCTACAGCCTTCACCAGGCATTTCTGCTGCAGCTCCTTCCACCGGTGTAACCTGAAACCCAAACCATGACATGCTCAGAGCAAGTTCCGGGGTGGTAAAATTAAAGCAACTTTTTGAGCAATACCGGCAAGGACGGATTTTCGGGGGCTGCTTTCTGCACGAAGGAAGCTTCAAAGTATCCTGAACCATCTTTCGTTGCCTTCTACTTCGGCCCGTCACCGCGGAGCTCCTCCAGGCATCGGCATCGCCTGTGTCACCGGCGACGGGGCCCGGGGCCCCAGAATGAGTTAGCAGAACCCTTGCGCCCATTTTGGGATGAGAATACCACCAGGCAACCCTGCAGACACCACGACCCGCGATACTCCAGCCCAAAATCCCTAACCCTAAGTCCAAAGCCAAACCTTAAATCAAACCCTAAACCCAGAGAGTAATTGTCGTGCATGATTCAACACATTGTCAATTTCCGACGGCTTGTCACCTTGCTTTTTTGCATTTCTGACTATACTTTTTCATCTTCTCTCTATTTCTCTCTGCATTGAATGCAATCTGCAAACAGTTTGTTATTCTTGCTGTATCCGAATTCTTCAGCTGTCTTTTTACTCTGACACCTTGTGCACGTAACTTTTCTTAAGAACGGTTTTACGATATTTAGTAAGCAGCAGAACAAGACAATAATTGAAATTCCCATGGACACTGAGGTAAAGGATCGCCGTAGCAAGCAATCAGAACAAACCAGTGAAAACAGCTCGTTTGCCAAACTGGTAATGCATTCATAAGTATAGTATAAACATACTTCATAAGAATTTACCTGATATGAGCTCCTTATGATTACAACCTTTGAAACCCAACCAAAGGGAACGCTTGCCCACTTTGGGATGATAATACCACCTTAGGGGAAATGGATGGGGTAATTGGTTATTCCTGGTAGTTGATATATTTGGGTGTATGGGAATAAGCCTCTTATGTGGATGAGGTAATCGGTTATTCCTATACCGGTATTGGTAATGGAGAAGTAGTAGTGATATAGTTGGTGAGATGTAGGGGGGAGTACAGGGATAATCTTTTAATGGGTTGACTGGTGGTATTATTCCCCAAAGTGGGCAAGGGTTGTGCTAACTGAATTACCCTGGTCACCGCAAAGAATTACCCACAGAAGCACTCCACCACGCCAAACAGATGAAGCCTTTGAATGAGACCGCTCGAGAATATCTCGTGCCATCAAATCCAGCTATCGCTTCGACGGATAGAGCCTTCGAGTTGCTGTTCTTCGTGACCTCCGCGATGACTCCGGCCCAAAAGAAGATGACCAATCCCACATAGGTCCTAGGTCGTGCCACGCATGTACCCGATCATGGACCGTAGATGTTTGCTGAGGGCAGAAGTCTGTTGCAGGGTCTCGGGATTGCGACTACTGTTTGTTGAATGGGTGTAGCGGAAGCCGGGTGATGCTGGTGACGGCGGCACGATTGTTCGATGCCTTCGTGCCTGTTGCGGGGGCACCTTTGACCGGAACGTGGTGGTCTGGGGCATGTGTGTGTGTGTGTGTTTAATTTGTAAGCATGCGTGAGATGGATGGAATCCATCCTGCATGCTCTTGCTTGAGTAATTGCCGTTGCAAGTCTTGCGCGCCCGTGCTCCAGCTACTCCCGATGCCTCGACCCGCTTTAGACTTTTGGTTGCGGCTGCTTGTCATCCGATCCGTTCAAGTCCTGTGGTCCTAAGCCCGGCCCGCATTGGCAGGCGAAGTCGGCAAGGCGCCGCATGGGCTCATGGCTCCCCTTTGTCGCTGTGTCAGAATTTGGCCCTGACTTTTCGAAGTCCACAGGGTCATGCGGAGGTCCCTTCATGGCTCTGTGCGCACAGGAGGGTCAGCCGAAATTGTTAAAAAAAATTGCAGCCTTGCCAGGGCGACAGCGTCCAGCCTCATCGCCTGGGTCCAGGTACGATGTCGACTTCAGGGCTTCCCAGCTCAGCGCCCGAGACTTTGGGTTCAGAAACCAAGAAGCCGCCGGTCCATCGAAGAAGACGCCTCCGCGTCTGAGCTGCATTGCTGTGCAGGTCGTGGAGCTCAGAGCCCGCGCCGAATGCGTTCGCACTGCGTCCTGGGCCCCAGGAAGGGAATGGGGATTCGTAGTGTCGTAGTACTGGTTTGCGTTTAGGCTTTCGAGCCGTCTATACTGGAGGCATCTGTTTTCTGACGCCTGAAACGACAGATGTGCAAGGCAGTGCCAAAAAGTCTTCAAATTTCAACACATACCGTGAACCCTAAAGGCCCTAAGCTCTCAATCCTGAACCCTGACCAAGAGTGGTTCTTATCAGTGTGACAGCTGATATGCTGGTTTCTGAAGCCTGGATGTTGTTTCTGCCCGGGGTGCATTGCTTTGTAAGTGGCTTGGACTTTCGTTGACAATGTCCAGTTTTCGATATACGATTTGGGTCCTTTCTCATTCTCCTTGTCCAACAGGCTCCCCCGAGGACCTTCACCCCTACCGTAAAATCCCAAGCAGCTTGTTGCAGCGCTCGAGGAAATGAGATTTGGGACTTGCAGCGATCCAGGCGCAGCTTTGGGACCTTCCTTCGTTGGCTGGTGCATCGTCCCCGCTGTCTGTCCTTGGTGTCGGTCATGTGAGCTGCAAGATGTACAGAAATTAAACTCCGCACGAATTGGTCGCCCATAGTTGATTTCTGAGACCTGCTAGGGCTCATGATATTACGTTTCTTGGGTTTTGGTATTGCTTAGGATTTTGGGTTCCGGGTAAGAGTGCCAAGACTGAATAGCTAGCATCTTAGGCACTTATGTTTTAAACTCTTTAAGGCTTCTTGCAGACTCGAAGCAGTATCTCCTTTTTCCCTCCAGTCTGGAGAAAAATCTCCGAACAGAGTCGCCTGTAAATGCATAGGACCTACTGGAGTCTGGGATGCTCTTTTGGACAGTTGTAGGTGGGAGCATCCATGAAGACAGAAACTATGGCACGCCTTTTCGCGACAGTGAATCCAGATGGCATGGCCACGTTCAAAAACAATCCCACGAGGCATCGTCTTTGCGCACCCCGAGCCTATCCGGCCTAAGCCCACCCAGACCTCCAGGAGCATGTCATGCCAGGAGACGTTGTGGTGCTTAGCCTACAGGATGTAGGTGCAAGTCTCGCAGAGCCCAGCTCCACCCAATATATCCCCTGCCTAGTGAATTCAAGACCAATATGCCTGAAGGCGCCGCGAGGAGCGCAGGCGTCAACAGGAGGTTCAGGCCGGCATCATGGCTACGGGCGAAGTGCAGATGAGCAGTCTAGGCAAGATTGAGTCGGAGATCCGGTGCATGAATTGTTTGCAACGCTAAACCCTAAAACCAATGCCCATAGTGGCTTGTTCCTGTTGCCCCGGCACAGTCCGAACGCAGAAATGCCATGGGGTTTCTTAAGACTCAGATCCCAATCCGGCGTGTTTACCTTTGAGACTATGGATCTCTTATTACATCCCATGGTTTGTCTGCGGCCGTGGCAAAAGCCAGCACAGCAGGGCTTCAGCAAGGATTCTGCACCAGAACCGGTGTCCCGTGCCCTACTCCCTGTGTAGAGGATGCAGCGACTTTGGACTTTGCTGGTCTCTACTGATGTATTCAGACAGCTGCCGGTCCATGCAGGAGCAATCCGAATGCCCTTTCCAGCCCAGACGCGCAGGCCGGCACTCTGCAAGGGTTGCCTTCTGAGAGGGTTGCACCTGTACAAACCCTGAACTTCCATGCCCTTGAAGCCCAAATCTGACTTCTGCCGGGAATTGGGCCTTGGTTCAAAGGGACGACACAGGCTCGGAAGAGGGCAGTGGCTCGAATTCTCCACCAGGCCGGAAGAGCTTGGACAGCTCGGCACTCGGCGACTTGAAGTCAGCAGAGTGTGATGAGCCTAAGAACTCAAGGGGAGGATATGGAGGATGTGGAGTCGCAGGCGATCTGGTTGTTCTTCTGGCTTGGGGCTACTGTCGGCAGCCCTTCTTTGTCTGTACAGAGCCCTGTGAACCCTTGTAGTCGCCCGTTTTCGAGCTCTGACAGGAAGCCCTGCGAGCCCTAAGTCATGATGCTCATACCTTCGACCCCGAAGCTTCTACCTCAGCCCGAAAGCCCTAAAGCCTGAAAGCCCTGAACCTTACATCACATCACAGTGTCCCCGGGCTCCTTTGGGCCCCGGCCCCGTCCCCTTTAATGTGGCGCCTCGGAGAGCTCGCGCTCCTCCTGGGAACAGCGACAGCCGCTCAGACGGCCGCGCCGCCGGGGCTCCAGGTCGGCGAGGCGGGGCTTTGAGGATCCATGACACTATAATATACCATAATAATCTCATAATATACCATAATATACTATAATACACTATAAGATAGTATAATACAATATAATACACTATAAGATACGGGGAGTGGAGCCTGGGTTCGAGGGAGTGGAGTCCCGCAGTCTCGGACCTCTGGCATGGGTGTTAAAACTTGGAAGTCTCAACGACCGACAGGTGGCCATGGTCCAGAGACCCGAATCTGCATCAATCGTTATCCGCAACTCGGAGCCCTTGTAACAGCGCCCTCTCCCCCTCAACCCCCCAAAAAACAACACCCGAAGAGGATGGCTGCTTCGGCCCCGCGGCTTCGCCTTTGCACTGCTGCAAGGCACGGAGGCTCTCCCAGCGCCTGGGCCAAGTGAAGCTGATGATGATTTTGCTTGCTTTCAGTAGTTGTTTCGGGTTTAGAGCTCAGGGAGGCAATTCAATCTGTTCAGGGTTTGAGATTCCAGCGGCGTTCAGCACACGAACGGTTCCATCAAACCCCCTATCCGGAGCGTCGTCACAATCTCCTGAAACTGTACAGTACCATTTTCTTGCAAACATAACCCAGAGCTCCAGACAGGATGCAAGATCGCAGGGGGCTCCCCGAAGATCCAGGTGTCCTGGCGTGGCTCCGGAGGGTCCCTGCTGCCAGCTGCGGGCACGGTCGGGAGCGCAGACGCCGCGCCCAGGCCTGGAGAAGGCCAGCCGCAAGGGGATTTGGTCTGAGTTCGGAGCTCAAGGTTTCAGAAGAAAGAGATATCAGACAAGCAGTAGCAGCAGCAGCAGCAGCAGCAGCAACCAGCGGAGAGGATCACGAACTGGCGCAGTAGGAAGGCACAGCTATGAGCTCGAGAAGCCATGCATGGGAGATGGAGATGCTCGAGATACGATAGGGAGAGCGAGAGAGAAAGGGAGAGATGGGGACGGCTGTTGCGAAGACGGAGCCGAGACAGAGTCACGAGAGAAGCAAGTCGTGTCGGATGAACTCTGGAGCGTGGAGTATGTGAGAACGAAGGCACTAAGGTCTGAGGCCTCCACGAAGTGCCTTCCAACTTCCGAGGAACATCGGTTCTTAACTTGAACAGCAACGCAAACAGGGTCCAGGAACTCGATGTGGGTGGCAGGTCTCAGAACTTTCTGACCTGGGTAGACGTTTCCAAAGCAGAAATTTGGGGGCAGTTGTGGTTTTTCGGAGCGTTTTTGTTCCCTTCCGGCTTTCCAAGCATGTAGAGTGGGGGAGCCTCCCAGGCCACGGGAGATCTGCTCCGTTTGAAGCTGCGCCTCGCTGCTTCGCTGCGCTTTGGCTAGGGCCTAGGGCTTCTCAAAATTTGGATCCCTTGTATGAGTATATCAGAGTATGGCCCGTGGTAAATAGTTCCTGCCTAGTTGAGTTTATCGTAGTTTCATTTTTACCCTTTCTTCAAAGGGTCCTTGCTACCGTTGTAAGCGTGACGTTCGCTTTGGGGTACCCAGGGAGGAATCTAGGGCTCGGCATGGCCCACATAAACTGTCGTGGGTGTTGTCTCTTTGCCGGCTCTTGCAACCTTCCAATACCGGAATATGAAGCCTTAAATCCACAAATAGGAATCTGGGATTTTAAACCCCACTGCCAAGCTCTAAACCCAACCCCCAAGCCGCTTAACTTAACCCGAAAACCCTCATGGACCTTTTCAGATCCCTCATACAGCCCCTGAAACCCTAAACCCTCCACCCTAAAGTCTCCACCCCAGTCCCTCAACCCCCAGTCCCTCATATTGTTGTATATTATGGAATATTTATAGTATATTATAGTATATTATAGTATATTATGGTGTCATGGATCCCCAAGCCTTAGCCCCAGTGGCGGCTCCGAGGTCGCCTGCGCGCACGCGCGCGTCGCCGGCTCGGAGCCCGGCGCCTGCGGCCCGCGCTGCCTGGCGCTGCTCTCCTCGGCATCCCGGTTTCGCAAGCTGATCCAGGTTTCGTTTCGTGGGCTGGGGCCATGGAGGATTCCTGTCGGACTGCGACTTCCAGATGATGTGCTTTGGAGCCATGAATCCTACAGTCCTGCAGTATCTGGAAGACGAACGAGGAGTCGTAGAGCAGTGGATCTGCTACAGGCTTTCAAATCTCCTAAACTGTCCTCTTCACTTCATGTCAGTAGTAGAATACTGCTTCCATCGCGGCAAGTGCCGCCAGCATCATGAAGCCATTCCTACCCGAGGATCTCGAGGAGATCCTGCGAAGCATCCCCACGGGGGAGGCAACCATTGGCCGCCTGACCTTTCAGGAGGAGGCACGGGCCTTGGGCGGGGCTTCTGCGATCGGGCTGGGTTTGTTGAAAGTCACTGGCCAAGCAGCAGCTGATGTTCTCTCATAGAGCAGAAATCATCATCAACAAGTTGAACCAGGCTTGAAACATGATCCTTCCCCCAGCGAGCCTAGAAATTGAACGGAACCGGCCCAGAGCCCTGTTGCCCAAACCGACCGGTTCCAATTCCATAAAGTTGCCTGAAGGTTGCTGCAGCAACCTTGTGCTTTCGGCTACTCCTCTTCCGCCACAGCATGCAGAGATCTGCTGCAAATAATCAGGCTTTTCAAGTTGAGGGGCTTGCTGTCTAACAAAACTTGCGCTTTTTCTTCTTGTTGGTCCTGGTAAAGCAAGGAAATCTGCAGACACCTTCGGCAAGAATCTTCCGATGAAGTTCTTGCAAGAGCTGCTTGGTCTGCTCGATTCTTGATCGGCTCTATGCCCTTTAAAGGATCACCTTTTGGTGAGCTGAGCGTTTTGTGAGCCCTGAGCCGAACCAGCACATGGAGGGTTCTGGTTCTGACTCTTTGAGTTTTGGGATCCCTACATCAAAGTTACTGTGTACTTAGGGCTTCTTTATGTTGTCGATTAGGGCTCCTTACTTTGTCACACTCCCTATGACGGTCCCGCGTCCTTGAGTTTGTAATGTGTGAGAAGGTGGTCATCTTGGCTCCGCCGAACCGAAACCCGGTTCCGTCAGACAATCCTGCATGCAGTATCTATGCATAGCTTCCTCTGTGGATCTTGCACATGTCCGCGCATCTCAGTTTCCCTTGCTATCGCCCATGGACGCGTGCTTTCCACGGAGAAACCGCGCATACGAGAACCCACCGGTGAGAACAATCGGCCATAGTCGAAAACTCAAGAAGCGTCCCGAGATCTATGTGATTCGCACTACCCGAAGACGGGATGCCACGAGCAGAGATGTCGATTTAAAGCCAGTTCCACGTGGCCCAGGCCTGCCAAGAGTTTAGTTTCTTCCGAGGCCGAGCCGTTGAGCTCCTGCCTAGTGGCGGTCATTGTCGTCCAGGTAATTTCTCCAGTCTGCCAGCAAGACCGTCAAATTGCCGGCACGACTGTCAAACCGCTACCTTCCAATCTTCAGTGCGCGTACAGTCAATCGTTTTTTCACAGTCTGCGGATTCGGTACGAGCCTCGAAGGCATTGTGCAAAAGTTGTGGTCGTCACATAACTCGTCGTCAAACGCAAGCAATTTATGGTTTCCAACAACGCTCAAGCCACCCCAATACTTGAAGCTGCAGACCTCTTGAAGCTTCGTGGCGCAAAGGACACCGTACACCCTACCACATCATTAGGAACTCGACGGATTCACTCCCTCAAGCCCCCGAGATTGAACCCTGGAAGTGGCAGCAGGGATGGTGGTGAATGTGGTGGGACATAATGACGATGGCACTAGCTATGGCTCTGATGCTAGCTATGATGCAGATGATTCAGGTCATGGTTAGCCTAGCATCATCATACCCGGTGTCATTCATACTACACAGTTGCGGGATAGATAAAAGCAAACACGGGCCTGAGACCCGATACCGCGTGGGATGCGGGCTTAGCGAGGATCCTGAGGCTGACCGCTGACCGAAAGTTAAACCCCTTGCTGGCAAACATGTCCCAGGTTCGCATTCCTCTGGGAGATGAGCCATTTCCTGAATTGGCAGCATCTGCTGGACCGGCTGTCTTGTGGGATTCAGGCTGTTTGTTGGATTCGGCGCCATAGCATTCTGCACATTGCTTACCTGTCGGCCTGAGACGGCAATACGTAATTCATGGGGCTACAGTTTCTTGGCCCTGGAGCCTCCGGATGAGTGTTCGGGGTGCCGCTCCCACTTCTAAGCCGAAGGTCGTGAAAATGACGATTGCAAATGTAGAAACGAATCCTCAACCCAATAATGGTGTTTAGAGTGGAGACACTGGTTGGTGACTAGCAGAACTGCCAGAAGACGAGTTTGCACTACTTTACCGCTGGACGGATCAACCCAAAAACCTGAGGCCACGAGGAACGAAAGCTTCCCTGACTCCCTCCCTCCCTCCCTAGCGCCTGAGAGAGGAATCTGGTTGGCCAGTGTTTGGTCTCTTTCGCCTCGTTGTGCAGCACTGGCCTAGGCGTCTCGTCCCAGACCTATCGTTGGCAGGGCTTTGTCGCTTCAAGGTTAGAGTATCTGTCTGGATGCAAGACCTCATGGTGCTACGTGTAACACGTTGTCATTGCACCATAGAGTCTTGCCCAAGAAGAAGCTAGCGCTCACAACCCTACAAAGTTTCAACAAGTCAGTTGCGTCCCGTCTCACAGCTGGGAGTGAAGTTCCAAACCGATGCATCCAAGATCTGGCGCGGCTGAAGACGAAACGGCGGCTTGGTCTAATCCGAGGCTCGCAATAGGCGAAGATGCAAGCCCCAGACCCAGCAACTGGCAGGATACTTAAAACTCGATGTTTGCCTATGTTTTGAGCCTTGAGACTTGACTTCCACTATCCTCTCGTTTTGCATATTTTGGGAGCATTTGGTGTTCAGCCCTGTCGGCGAAGCAGCACCGGATTACCGAAATCCTCGGCTCCTATCCCTGGGCCCCGACTAGGCGGCCAGCTAGATGTCAGATTCGAGATTCCTTCCTACCGAGGTGCGCCGCACGCATCGCGGCAATGCGACGGCATCGGTTTGTGATGGTTGGACTCTCAGTGACAGCTCATCGAGCTTGGGGTGCTGTCCCTGTATTGACCACCTTACAACACAAGCGAAGTGGCATGTTTCACTGTCTGGTGACTTCAATTCAGCTGATGGGTCGCAGCACGCATCTTGCACCCGCTTCGGTCTCGTATGAGGCCACGTAGCATCATCGAGGCTGCAAGGCGGAGTCGAAAGCCTCAAAACCTTGACTATCCCACCTCGTTGCCAAGCTCCAAAAGCCTGCAAAATTGCACCCGACGATCCTTCGCCCCCAGGGCCTTCGTCGAAGCTCCGTTCGTCGTTGGAGGCCGCTTCGGCAGGGCTCCTGAAGAAGGTTGACCAAGGAGGTCCTGTGCTTGCTCCGACTTGGAGCGGCTGCAGTTCACGGTTGCTTTAACAAAGGTCGCCTTTCGGGTTTAGGCTTTAAGAGGTCAGTGCAGCTGCCCTACTTCAGAGCTCTTCCGAACATCAGACATCCTCGGATGGAATGCGGGAGCCAGAGTCGGGGACCGTTATTTTCATGGGTTTTTGGCTCCATGTAAGCTCAAGCAGGTACTTGTAGGGATCTTTTCGGGTCTTGCGGCAGGGCAGCAGGCTTTATGAGAAGAGCCGACCCACTCTTTGAGAGGCGATGGGCTCCGACATCGATGGTGAGGGACTGCGAGTCCCTGGGACTGCTATTCGAGACCCTAGGAAAGGAGCCCTAAGGCCAGCCGGGCTTAGAGTTTGGGGGCTTGCAGGCAGCTCCGGCAGAAAGCTTCAGGCAGGAAGTTTTTCAACAGCGCCGACTTGTAGGTTTCGGCCGGTGCTTGATTCAGGAACACGTATGAGGTGACGACTCCGAGACTGTCTGCCTCTTCGTTCCTGACCAGGCCAAACGTAGAGCATGCAAATTCTGCAGCTCTACACCAAAGAACGAGCTTGGATGCTGTCTCGTCTTTGTTGTGCTTTGTCTTGTTCCAGTTATATCCGCGTGTTTCGCGAGTCGAAGCGCGTGTTCCCTGAAGAGACTCTACTTGCATGGCGACTGAAGCGCTCTTCCTTTGAAAGCACTCATTGTAGAATTGCCAGGTTGGCAGGACGAGAAGCCAAAGCGTGCACTTTTTCTCCTTAGGCTTTGCAGCAGCACTGTATTGATCTTGTGCTCTGACAGGAGAGCGAGGAAGGTGCTGTGCTTCCTCCACTATCGTACTCGCATGTTTGTTCGCACCGTGAAGCCTGTGGAGGGCAGAAGTCTGACCTAGTTCGACACCCGTCGACTCGAGACCGGTGCGGCTTCTTTTGATGACCTCCCTTCCGTCTTCGGGTTTTGTAAAGAAGCTCATTATAGGATGTGAGCAACGTGCTGAATCGAGGAGGGGTACGTGAGTGGCATGACACTCTGCATCCTGAGGTTCCGGGGGTGGGCGAGCCAAAGGAGTGCGGCTGGCAGGCAGGGGTACGGTGTATCCTCAACCTACGGAGCCCAGCTTTCGAGCAAATCACAAAGCAAGAGGGCGGGCTCTCTGGGCAGCTGTTCAGGAATCCCTCGGAAAGCTTCTCATGACGGCCTGGCTGATCTACAATGCGAACTCTTACCGGTTCCTCGGACGTAGAGCAGGTGTGAGAGATACTTTCCAGAACAGGTTTGGCAGATTTTGCAGGCTCTGGGAGGTTTCGCCAACCCACGCAGCAGGTGGTGTTTCCGGTTTTCGGGGGTCCCAGAGTCCCATGTTGGACTTCGGCTCCGCAGGTACCACATGTACAATGGCAAGTCCTTCGCACCTCTGGAAGACATGCCCTTCTACGACGCTTGTCCTGCAACAGGGGTGGCCACTGCGGTTATCTACACAATCTAGGATCCGGGATCTCGGGCGGCTTCCGCGATGAGGTTTGAGGGTTTCGAGTTTTATTGTGCCAGCCCCGACGACCTGTGCAGGGCCAGCCCGTGTTCGCATTTGCAAATTTCAGCATTTCGAATTCTGAAGAAGAAATGTCCTTAATCTAGTTTGGGATGTAAGGGAGAATAAGTTCCCACTGGTCACGGAAGGAGAGGAAGAGCAACAGGCAGCGACAGCCAAGAGCCTATTTCCTGGTGCTCCCGCCAAGAAAGCAATTGAATTGCCGCTCGCTGTTACTGTCCAGCGTGCAATGTTACATCCCGACGGTGGTTTGCGCCTGGCCAGTCCCCAATCGAAGGGACGTCAGCGAATTCAGTTCAATTCGGAAGGGGCCGTTAACCAATCCTTCGCGGGTGTTGTAGTGGAAGCCTTTGAAGACATGGTGGGCCAATCTTTTGCTTTAACAGGTTGTTGATGCATGGAAGGGCACTCTTCCGGAAACAAGGCGCTGCCAAGGGACAATGGTGGAACAAGGCATTCTTGCAGTCTCAACACAAAGGAGTGGTAGGTCTCCATACCGCTGCTACGATAACTGGATATTTCTGAGAGTGTTGGGCTCAGTTTCCAGGTCCTAGAGTTGGAATTTCACCAAGGAAATCTTTAACAGGCATAAATATCCTTGACTCTCCATGAACCCTACGAGTCCCAAAACCCTCTCGCGCAGACTCCATCTCGTAGTGATGCCTTGACGGAAAGGGCCTTGTGAGTCGAAGCCCGTGAGCCTTCAGCCCTGGGTCTTTTTTATCCGTAGATATCCTTGCCCCTCTGAACCCTAAGAGGGTCTGTGGGTGAATCCTACGAACCCTCAATTTTATAATCCGAGGAGATGGTGCTACACCGGTCCTGGGAGCAAAGTCTGCTGGGACTCACCGGCGATGCCTCGCAAGGGCAGCTTGGCCAGCATGGAGATGGGTCGATGGGTCTTTGGGGTTCAGGGTCTCGGGAGCAACGTCATTCTTCAAAATGCTGATCTTGTTGCTGTTGACGATGCTGATGATGCTGATGGCGATGTGGATGGTGATGATGGCCCTGACAGAACAACGTCTGTCAGTCAGGACCTTGCTGAGACAGCGACCGCAGCAACCTGCCCTCTGCCCATCACACCCAGAAGCTCCGAAAATTGACCCTGCAGATTTCAGGACGGGGCCGAAGAAACATGAATGCTCGTAGGCGTCGGGGCCCAGCCAGGCAAAGAGGAACTGTGGAGACCACGGCGCAGCTGCTCCTCGCCGAGATTTACGAAGCGGTGCCAAGACCATTTTTGGATTTTTTGCTTCTTCCAGGTTTGGTTTCTGTACGTGGCGTGTCGAGTGACTTTCACGCTTGGCCAGGGTCGCAGGCGTTTGACATCGTCCCTCGATGCGTTTTGCGTTCGCTCTCAAGCGACATAGATGACAGGATGATGTTTCGGCACTTGAATAGGCTTGTGATACCAGCTCGAACTCTGTCCGCAGACGGGTAACCCGAAGTAGAAACAAGCCGCTTCGCGAGCCGTCACATGACCTGCACGTGGTTTAGCAGGTTAACATGTGAATGTGGGCATGATCTATGATGAACTTGTTATCACTGCAGTGCTGGGACTGGGTTTTCGGTTTGTGGCACGGCATTGACAACAGAGGCCGCAAAAGGTTTCCCGAGGTCAGCTAACGCGCTGAAATCCAGCGCGGGCCAGCGTCCGTTTGAGGTGGAAGTTCAAGTGCAAAGGAAAGAGTATCCGCGCCAAATGCCAGGAGACCCTCACTCCACAGCCACAGGTGGGGACAGCACCTTCATACAAAGCGGTCTCATGTTCCATCCTTCTTGGGATGAATATCCACCACCGTCGGAAGTCCTCACAGCCTTATATTCTGATTTCCCCTCAGCCCGAAGGCTGAAGCCCCGAGCCCTCAAACAGAGACTCAAACCTCCCCAACTTAACGAAGGTCCGGGGCTTCAAAGTGTAAAGTGAGCCCGTGAGCTTAGCCGAAGGTTGCAAAGCCGATGGGATCCATGGGATCTTCTGAGCTCGCTGGACCGTCCCCGGGGCCTCGAGGGTGCCGGGTTTCTTACTCGATCTTAGGTGGGGGGCAGCAGTCAATAATCTTGGGTTTCTGTGGCGGAACATCGACAGCCGGCGAGCCATTAGCGAAAAAAGCCTCGACAGAACGAATGACAAACGGCCACAGGGATTGCTGCGTGCGGGCGTTCTGTGAGGCTGTCTTGTCAGTCACCATGGCTAGCGGCTAGCAACAAAGGCAAATGAAGAGAAGCTTCACCAACATAGAACTGGCATCTATTGCTTGTCAGGGGGCAGACGGCGTGGGGTCATGGGAAAGGAACTGCACAGCAAATGCCGAAGAAGTCCTTCAAGACCAGGGGGAGGAGCCAGGAATCGGGAGGGGCCAGCAAAATTCACACGGAAGACTCATGTGGCATGGTATCAGAGGGTTGCGGTTTGGGTGTTCAGCAGATCCGAGCCGACAGCTTTCTCAGCTTCGTGAGTGTGAGTTTGTTTAAGCAGTGGGGTTTCTTAACATGATGTTGCATAGGGCTGCGTATTCGGAGCCAGGTGTTTTCGGGGTGCAATCCCGGCTTAGAGAGAATTCGAGGTTGAAGCTAACCCCGAACTAAGTCCTCCGTCCCAGCGGAGGTTCGGAAGAAGGACTCCGTGCCTTCGACATCCTGACGCCTGACCTGCGAACCAAATCCGAAATCCTTGAAATTCCTAGGCCTCAGAGACCCGGGGCGGATCCGCAAAAGAGCCCAGAGCCCTGAGTCTGAAGTGGCAGGAAGTTCTCCACCTCCATCGCTCCTGGAGGCTTTTCAAGGCCTCGGGGCTTTTTGGGGGGTTCGGGGGTTTCGGTTGGCTCTCTTGAAATGAGGCATCGAGAGTCTGGCGGCAGAAGGGGGGGTGGGGTGCGGAAAGCTTCATTCGGGTTAATATTCATGGGTGACCTCACTTTTTGCGTTTTGTCGGCAGCGGCAAGAACCCATCACGGGGCCTCAGCGGGCTTCAACTTGAACCCCTCATCGGTGCTGCGCAGCCTCAAGCTATCAGGCTTGGGACAGCCTTTGATGCTCAAAATGCTTTTGTAAACATCATTGGCGAACTTGGGGTCCTGATCCCCCATCCCTCCACCTCCATCCGACTCCCCGCGTCGTAAATCTTGCTGCGCCGAATTCCGGGGTGAACCATCCCTGAACTCGAAACTCAAATCAATCCTAGGCCCTAGGCCTTCAAGGGAAGCCTTTAAAGAACGCAGGAAATCTTGCCCTGGCAGCCCGTCATTGTCGAGGAAGCGTCCAGGGACATGATCTGTTTGTTTGTTTCCCATGATCCTGACGTGTTTTGACGTAGAACTGCTGTGGGGCTTCACGGCTTCGACATGTGGGCAGCGGGGCGTCCTGCTACTTCGGACTGCTATTAGGTTTGGCTTCAGTTTAAGCAGCTGCATATCCACGCGGATCCAGCAAGACTGTCAGGAATTGAAATCCCGAATGCCGGAAGGCTTCGTGCTAGCTGCTAGCTACGTTTACTGCACAAGGGCCGTTCCAGCCCTGAAGCGCCGCTAGACGGGTAGACCATGACATCTCGAATGCAGAACCCTAAACACCTCTCCTGTCGGTTTGGTTGGCTGCGCAGGCTGGTGCCAATGACGGCATTCACGAAGCGATTTGGCTTCAGGCGCTTGGGACCTATATACCATAGTCTACCTTGCTATAATGTATTATGCTATAATACACTGTTGTAAAATCTTTAGCCGGAGGTGTTTTGTCTTCAGAGAGAGCTCACATACACCACGAATGACCGAGATTGAATGCAGCCTGCCGCAGCCCTGAAGCAGTTAGACGCTATCTCACAATACCATCCCGGATAGGCCCTTGCACTCGTAAGTCCCTGAGCCCTTAACCCATTCTACTTGACTTGAGCTTAACTTACGGTCCGTGCAGTCCCAGGAGTGGCCAACAGCGCAGATCATGGCGTTTGAGCCGGATCCGACATGCTTTGCTCACCTGACGAGGAGTGGGGGTGCAGCCAGGGTCGCAGGCTGTGAAGTTTTCGGTCGTTGCAACCTTCTTGCGTGGAAGCCCAAACTCCTGCTGAAAAGCAACGTCCTAGCCCTTGCACCAAGCCCGACGCAGGAACCTCAGAGACGTCATGGGTCGGGCAAACCCAAACTCGAAGCTGCTGAACATGGCATTATCCGGGAAGATCGGACAGATACCCAGCTGCTTGTGGTAAGTTAGACTTAGGGCCGTTGGGGGAGTGTCGCGATGGATTTGAACTGTGGGTCTCGGATTTGGGCCCTGCTTTCGATGGCTTCAGCTTCGGTCTCCCATTTTCTGTTACCGGCCCCGCATTTTGATTGCACCTTTGACTGTGGACGCCACGGCTGCAAGTGCACCGAGAGAATGCTGAATCTTGGGTTCTTGTTCGGAATTTAACTCCACTCCCCATTTACGAGATATCTGGCCGCCAATATTATGGTCTCAGCAAATCACCACCTATCCAAATCCATCCCAGAAGCTCTCGGAAAAGTCCTCGCTCCAGCAGACCAGCGTAGCCCTACCATCTAAGACCTAGTGCGATGTCCACGCGACGACCCGAATTCACGGAATCCTGAATTTCTTACTGCAAGACAACAGACCCCAAACTGTAAGCCCGAATCCTGAAGCAAAATGTCAGTAATGTCCATCAACTGTTCAACCGGAACCCAGAACGATATGACTCCGGGGACGCTCAAAAGTTCAGGGCCAGTACCATTCAGATTCCTCACCTCGCAGGTTAAACGAACTCGAAGCCAGCAAGTGGTGCAAAAATTGCAACCTAACCCTGAACTTTGAACCCATGCGAGGAAACTCAGAACCGCAAGCTCAGGATGGATTTCTACCTGCGTGACGGAAACTTTTCGACGAGCGCAGTGAACACGCTCCACGAGCCGACGGACAGGGCCCGAAGAAGGTTTAGGGATCCTGGACTAAGGTTCAGGCGTCAGGTTAGGGTTTGGGACTCCTTGCAGCTGTGGGCAGCTCTAACTGCGTAGATTTATTTGGGCAAATCCAACTCACCCACACATCGATAAGTTGCATAAATAGCAAACATGCCAACACGGACGTTTTTTCTTGTATTTGTCTTGTTCTCCAGTCGTTGAGTTTGTACATATCTATCGAATCTATCGCACTCTCTCTCTCTCTCTGTGTCTCCCTCTCCCTGTCGCTCTCGTTCCGCTCCATAATCCGTCGCATAAGAGGTGCGACACAATAAACATGTGTGCAGAACTCAGTGTGACATGATGGAAAAGGCCAGACAAATCCGCGGCAGGACTGGTTCAACGAGCACTTTCCGCAGATAAGCTGGCAGCGGGAGACGGTGAAAGTCCAGACGATGCCGTTGGAGCCTCTGCGGAAGCCTTGAGCCCTTAACTCTAGGACCTTGGGAGATCTTGATAGGATAGGGTCGCTTTCCTAACTTGTCAGCCCCTCACAAAGGATTCGGTCGTTTGAGGGACTTCAAAGCTCTTGATTCCCGCTTTCAGCTCCAAGATTGCCGTTCCTTCGGTTCCTTCGCCTTACCCCGCGTTGAGCTTGTTTCCAGAACCTCCCCACCCAGATGCCCGCCTCGTCATGGTTGCAGGCAGAACGGCCAAACCCTAAGCTGCTAGGATTCCCTGGCTTTCTATGATGTGCATGCTGTGGACTTCCTCGAGCTGGATGTGCAGTGCCCTGGAAAAACGTAGCACTTTGAGGAGATTTCTGTCCAAGCCGATTTGGGATCTTTCTTTCAAGATATCAAGGTCTCACGGTTCAGATTCAGGGTCTGGTCTGCTTGTTCAACACTTGTCATTGGGGCCTTGGTTCTGACGATGTTTGGGGCGGCAGCCACAGGGGCTGACGGCTGGGGGTTGAGCAGTCTTTAGGGTCCTTGACTGTGTTCGGGCCTAGTTGGAAGCGGAAAGTTGAAATTGGAACTTGCATGCGACAGTCTTGAATTCCGATGCTGGCTTTGTTTCTCTTGGGAGCGCATAACTCTCTTGCTAGCTCATGGGTGAAATCAGGTGGCGTTCCCCGTATGGTTCATGTCTGTGCGCTGTGCTGTTTCCCGACTTGTCGGGATGTGCGTGTCTTCTCCGCGAAGGTATGAAGAGATCTGCTTGTTTGATGTAGTATATCTGAGGTCAGATCCACATCTGGTTGTTGCATCCCCGTGCGAGGATGCGCAGGGACATCTTGCTTAACAGTCCCAGTGCAAAGTCTTGTTCCCTTGCTACACTGCGGTGTTGGTTGTCGGAAGTCTGCCTCATGTCTCTCTAGCTTGTTTTGGGATGCTTGTTGTTGCTGATGTTATAGCTTTACATCAGCAGCGAGACTATTGTGATCAGTTGATCTCTTCATTTTGGCATGTATCCCCCCTACAAATCCGTCCAGCTCAAGGTGCCATGAGTACAACGTGCTGCAGGCCTCCGTCAAGGCTTGACGTATTCTTGGCTTGCTGCCGTTCACGTCCCGACTTTGCAGCCTAGACTGAGCTTTGAGCACTCTGATTTGGGCTGCTCCGCGCGGACGCTTCTTTTCGAATCGCGCCTGTGTTGGGGGTCGGGCAGTGTTCCCAGGCGAACCGAGCCGAGCCAGAGCTGCAGGGGATCTCGTCTTAACTCGAAGACGTAGTTACTGCCCTTCACATCGCATCTCCACGCACAATGGCATCCTTAACGAATTCCGAAGAGAACTCAACGTGGAAGTCCGAAAGCACCGACTCAGCCGGCCCTGTCTGCAATCTAAAGCCCCCTTGAAATCCGTCCCCAGCTCCGGCAAACCCAACCAAACTCGTCTCCCTGCAGATCCTGCCGACCATCACGATCATGCAGATCGAGGCATGCCTGCCCCCTGGCATGTGCAAGGCGGGCCAGCCACCGCACTATCAAACCTCAAGCAAGGGGCTTTTGACCAACATAAATCCTAGACCCGAACCCTAACCAATCCGGGAAGCGGCACCCGACCCAGGATGCCGTCCACAACTGTACAACTTATAGCCACCCACGCTGGCGAAGGATACGGCACTCTACGAGGACATCCGAATTCTGCTCGTGCAACGGGGCTTCTCGTTGCTGGCGACGGATGCGAAGCCAGACTCCTTGCTGCATCCTCAGGACAGTTGACTATCGTTGCTGCTTGTGGTGTTGTTGTCATGAGTCGGGGTCTTGTACGAAGGGCATATCTGTAACTGCATTACCGGGTCCTACCAGAGTTACGAATATGCTTCTATCGCTAGTCTCATTATTGATTCAAGCCTTATGATAACTTCCATGATGGGGCTACGTACCTCTTAGCACGGTGGCTTCACAGGGCTCATTCAGATGGCTTTCGGCTCTTAAGCATTGGGAGCAACGTCCCGAAAAGTCCGACAGCTGGTTATTGTGTGAAAAACTTGCGGTCCTGACTTGAATCGAAGACCACCTGCATGGTTGTCAACGAATGTCCCGCAAAAGCAGGATCGCTGCTTCGACGCTCTCTTTGTGAACCTGGCCAAGGACGCTCGGGTGTTCAGGGCATACGGAGAAAGTGTCCAAACGCAAGACGTTGCTAAGGAGCTTGAAGCCTCATTGCAGCCCTGAGCCTTGACGCGCCGGAAGCAGCGCAGGTATCGTACCCCCTGCAACCCATGAACTCTGCATCTTCAGCTGTGAGCTTCAAGTTGTTGGTGCGCAACTTCGGGGCCGGAGGTGAGGTCAAGGCACGATCTTCTCTTGGTTTTTTTCAATAATGCATGCTAGCTGGCATCAGGGATCTTTGCAACCATATCGAGAAGAAGCTCCTGTCTGTTGCCTTGTCAGGGTTTTCTGTTGGATTCTCTGAGAGCCTAGACATGGCAGATCCCAAACCTTCCGTTTTCGAACTTTCGTGGTCGGCAGCAGGCATCAAAAAAGAATCTTGAACTTTAGACTCTAGACCCCAATCCTCAACTACCGGAGTCTTAGCTTTGGAGTGCCAGCCGCTCCGGAGGAACCCACAGGGGCCTTGGCTGCCCTTGACGTCGCAAGAGGTCTGGATGCCAGGCCGGTTGCCTTCCGGGTCTTCTCCCTCCCTCCCTCCCTCGCTCTCTCCCTATTTTTCCGTCTCTCTGTCTCCTACTTGTACGCATCTGTCTCTCTCTGTGTGTGTCGACGCGTGCTTGCACGCGCTCGTGTGTGCATGCTTACAATCATCTACGTGTCTATCTGTCTATCACCCATCTACCCAGCTACCCATCTACCGATCTACTTATCTACCTGTCTTTTTACGTATCTACATATCTCTGATCCACCTATCTACCTATCCACCTATCCACCTATCTTCTTATCTACCTATCTACCTATCTATCTATCTACCTATCCACCCATCCACCTATCCTATCAACCACCCAACCATCCAACCACCCAACCACCCAACCACCCAACCACCCAACCACCCAACCACCCAACCACCCAACCACCCAACCACCCAACCACCCAACCACCCAACCACCCAACCACCCAACCACCACCCAACCACCCAACCACCCAACCACCCAACCACCCAACCACCCAACCACCCAACCACCCAACCACCCAACCACCCAACCACCCAACCACCCAACCACCCAACCACCCAACCACCCAACCACCCAACCACCCAACCACCCAACCACCCAACCACCCAACCACCCAACCACCCAACCACCCAACCACCCAACCACCCAACCACCCAACCACCCAACCACCCAACCACCCAACCACCCAACCACCCAACCAACCACCCCAACCACCCAACCACCCAACCACCCAACCACCCAACCACCCAACCACCCAACCACCCAACCACCCAACCACCCAACCACCCAACCACCCAACCACCCAACCACCCAACCACCCAACCAGCCAACCAGCCAACCACCCAACCACCCAACCACCCAACCAGCCAACCACCCAGCCACCCAACCACCCAACCACCCAACCACCCAACCACCCAACCACCCAACCACCCAACCACCCAACCACCCAACCACCCAACCACCCAACCACCCAACCACCCAACCACCCAACCACCCAACCACCCAACCACCCAACCACCCAACCACCCCAACCAACCAACCAACCCCAACCACCAACCACCCAACCACCCAACCACCCAACCACCCAACCACCCAACCACCCAGCCACACACCACCCAGCCACCACCCAGCCACCCAGCACCCACCACCCAGCCACCCAGACACCCAGCCACCCACCAACCACCACCCAGCACCAGCAACCAGCCACCACACCCAACCACCCAGCCACCCAACCCAGCCACCCAGCCACCCAGCCACCCAACCACCCAACCCAGCCACAACCACCCAACCCAGCCACCCAACCACCCAACCACCCAACCACCCAACCACCCAACCACCCAACCACCCAACCACCCAACCACCCAACCACCCAACCACCCAACCACCCAACCACCCAACCACCCAACCACCCAACCACTCAACCACGCAACCACCCAACCACCCAACCACCCAACCACCCAACCACCCAACCACCCAACCACCCAACCACCAACCGACCAGCCGACCAGCCGACCAACCAACCAACCAACCAACCAACCAACCAACCAAACAGCCAACCAACCATCAATTAATCAGTCAATCAACCAATCATTCAGTCCATCAATCAATCTGTCTGTTCACCTGTCTATCTATCTACCTATCTATCTACGCAGCGGCGAAACCCCAGCGCAACGACCAAGGGGTGGGTGGGTGGGTGGCACTTGTCATCCGTTGCCTGGACTGAGGAGTTGTGCTTCGTACCGTAAGGAGTGCCGAAAAGCCTGCAGCCCCTATCCAAGATCAAAGCCCTGAAGATCTCACTTCCGAGCCGTTGATTGCAGCTGGAAAACTCCAATCCCGAGCTGTGAACTCGGACCAGGTGACGAAGGAGCCGGAAAGAAGAAGAGGAACGAGGGCTCGCGCTCCACATGTCGACGGCGCGTCGATGCCGAGGAGCCGAAAGCCGAATCCTCAAAGGGAGCCGAAAAAGAAGAGACCTCAAAACGAGACACCTGTTGCTACGAGTTGCGGGCTTCATGGCTCGATAACGAACCGCACTCTCAGACCCTGTATGGTGACCACGACATGCCTCGCCACAATCAGAAGGCAGTAGCCTCAAATCTACAGCTTTGTGGGCTGTGTTGTGAGACTTTGAATTGGTTAGGGTTGCCCAGACGGTTTGGGAGTAGCCTGCTGAAAAAGCGGTACAAGGGTAACGCTTCCAAAATCAAAGAATAGAAGGGGCATCGCAGACACCGTGGAGCGTATTTTTTCAGCCACGGATCGCTGCAGGACTTCGGACTTCGTGGTAGGGTACACTGAGGAGGCACGTGCACGAAATCTTGACCCACCTGCTCCTCCCGAAGTGCCCGAAACGAGAAGAGGGGGTAGTCCCTACATGAAAGGCCTGATGTCAGGTTTTCGGAACCCCTTGCTGAAGCAGCCTCCAGCTGAAGCCTCGCAGTGATAAGGGTGCTGGTCAGGTCGCGGCTGCTTCTGGTCCCCCTGCTTTCGTCCACAAGAGCGCATGAAGGAGTGGCACCCGGGGCCTGGTGCTGCGCCCTGCACGGCCGGTCTTCTGCGGTTGGCATCTCCGCGAAGCGAAGCCGGCCCTTCCCGCAGACCGTCGAAAAGCGGGGTTGGGAGCGAAGTCAGAACCGATGTCGGGGTTGGGTCCTGGGGCAGAAGGAGAGTACCTGGAGGTTCAGAGTTTGTGCTCGTGAGGACGATTCATACAGCTCTGCCCCAGGACAGGATCCTGAGTCTGCCCAACCTACCCATGAGGGATTCCGACAGCCAGGGATGAGGGGCGCAAAAGTGGGATTTGGGGCCTGCGCTGCTGGTAGCTCCTTTCTAAGCTTTAGAGCGCACTCAGCCGGAAGAGGAAGGTGGAGGGTGAGTTGGTGGAGGCTCAGAGACTTCAGGCCTGTTGGGGTGATAGGATCAAGAGCGGGGCTTCGAACAGAGCCGGGTTTGACCATGACATGTCCATGACATGTCGGCTCCAGATCCACAACAAAATCCGGAGAACTCAAAGAGCTGACGTGCGACTACCACCTACTAAGCTACTACTCCCAATACTTGGGTCTCCACCTCGGGGCTCAGTCATACAGAATAGGGCAAAAATGGAGGGGGTTCGATGTTCAGCCGCAGGCCCATCTGTTTAACCTAGGGACTTGACCAAGCTTAGCGTCCGAAATGGCCATGGGCAGCCCAGAGCTGCAAGCTCTTCTGGCTCCCTGGGCCAAAAGTAGACAAGGTTCAGGGTTCTGCGCGGTCCAATATTCCTCTTGCGAGCCCTTCTTCGCGTGGGTCTCCGGTACCGGTTGGCAGGGTCAGGATCCTCATCTTCGGGTATCCATTTCATCAACTTTCGGGTACCCTGTAGCTGTTGGCAGCTACCATCCGCACGTACGCAATGCACGCTCGCTGAGCAAAGAAGCTGAAGTCCCCCCCAAGAGAAAATTGCCCAAGTTGCCCTGCAGGGTAAAGTTCTCGGAAGGTGGTTCCTTCGGAGCAGAACAGAACCAACGAAAAAGGAGAAGTAGAGCCTCAAAAGTCAGGAGCTGTTCCAGCGCCATGCCGGCGACCAAGACATGCCCGAGGCCGGAAGCAAAAGTGCAGAAGCTGGCCTCCAGGACTCCACCCCCACCACGTCGTTTTTGACGGCATGCGGCATGCCCCCCATGCTTCCCATGACAAGGCTCGAAATTGTTCACCCCCTTAGTGCTGCCCTCGATCAAGAGGCTGGTTGTCGCACCCCGTTAGCTTCCACGGCACGGCCATGTAAGGCGTGGTTGACAAGCTTGGTTTCCCCCCACCTTTGACCAGAAGATACCAAAAAGGGTTTGTAGCTTTGTTGCTACTCTTCTTCGTCCTACCTGGTTCCTACTCTCGAGCCCGATCTTCCCGGTCTCCCAGACATAGCTGCACCCGAAACCTCTGGCGGCTGTAGGGATCGCAGGAACCCCTGAGCTCCCGCAAACAGTCTTGAGAGACGGGCAGGCAAAGTTCGTGGCCCTACTTCGGAGCATTGGCGTGTCGCAGGAGGAGTGGAGTGGTTGTTCGTGATTCTCTGATCTAGGAAGTACGACTGGGAGATGCTTCGGGTTTCGCAAGTTCAGGGTTTGGGGTGTGGGAGGATCGATCGATTTCAGTGCTTTGGCAAGGGGCCCTGGTATGGTTTGCGGGCTCGCACTCCTGCCTGCTCTGGGTTGGTTCGCTTCCTGCTGACAGAAGCCTCGACAGCCCATTCCCCAACTAGCAAGTCACGTGTTGGACCATGACTTCAGGACCCTTCCAAGGGGCTCTAGCGGCGTTATCCCGTATTCCTTCTTGGGCCGTGATGTCGCACGTGATGAGATGAAACCTATTCCTGTGCTGGGATTCATGTGATTGATCTAGCTGGCGAGTGTTCCTTCTGTCACGGCCTACTATATACGAGAATCTTGTGTCGTGTACTGGGGCATGTGCTCTGTGCAGATGACTGTGTTGCGTCCCCAGCTGGTTCGACATGCTGCAATACGATTACCTTTTGGTCTTGCTGCTGCAGACCGCGGTTCTTCTTCTAAAGGCACCTGCAGTTTGAAGCACGCGTCGGCCATTGACGGTGCTCCTCGAGTTCAGGGATCTTCTTTAAAAAAGGGCAGGTTTAGCAACAAAGAGGTCCTTCGAGACTCCTTGTGGATTTCAATGAACCCCCAGAGTGGCCTCGTGTCACCAAGTAAAACCCCCATAGCTTCAGAGCGAAGGACACGTCCATCGCCTTGGCCAAGTTCGGCCCTGGCAGCATGTCGGCATCGGCTTGGATGGTTCCCTTCGTAGCAGTAGGTTGGCATGAGCCCTGAACCCTAAGCCCGAAGTTTCAAACCTGAAGCCCTCAATGGTAAACCCGAGACTCGAAACCATTGAAGCTCGAACCTTCCACCGAAGTAGCTTTGCATTATCGTTGCGTCGAGGTGTATGGCCTTAGACCCGAACACCTCAAAGCCAAAGCCCCCGAAACCCCGAAGCCCAACACAAACATCCCTATGCCCGAAATCCAGGCAACGTGTCCCATGCCAGCTTCCTGCGCTGGACCTTCGGCCACCTGGTGATCAGCGATTCAGTACCGGGCATTGGTCATCCGAAGTGCCGAAGGTTACAGCCAAAACCCCAAAACCTTGCAGTTTGGGCTTGGCTCGATGCTCATGGCAAGGATACCGGGCACACTTTGCGGCAAGGATTGATGAGCTCCGGCCCCGGCCCCACCTTGTCGAAATTTTGACAAGCATTCTTCTTGCACGACCAAACGCTAGAGTCGGAAGGAGCGGAGCTCCGAAAGTCGGGGGTCAGCTGTGTATAAACGCAGCAACCGTAGGTCACCAACCTTCAGACCATGAGGCACAGACGTCCACGTAAGCTTCTCCATTCCAAACCTGTAACTGTTTTTTTAGAGTGTTCTCCTGCATCTGCCAAGGCTACACTTCGAGAGAGGTCATTCTGATGTTCGGGCCGCCAGCATCTGGCAAGGGCACGCATGGTGGACGAATAACAACGGCCCTGGGAATTCCACAGCTCTCTACCGGAGACATGCTGCGCGAAGCCGTGGATTCTGGCACGGAGATCGGTTTGAGGGCCAAGTCGGTGATGGAACAAGGGCCGCCCGGCTACCTTAGTTTTCAGCTACGTGTGAGTGGTCGTCAGACACCTTTAAAGAAGCAGGATAGCCGTCTCGTGATAGTCTCTGGCAGCATCATCAACGACTGTTGCCCGTTCTCTATAGTGAGCCGTTCCCACGTCGGGCAGGGGTCTTGAATGAAAGTCGACAGCGCACCGGCGACACGTTGAACCTGCGCGGCTTCTGGCGTGTGTGGGATATGGGTTCGGGATATGGGGTTGGTAGGGAGACAGAACTCGAGAGCAGCTTGTAGAATTTCTTGTGCAAGGCAGCTGGTGAGCGACGACATTGTCATTGGCATCATCAGGGACAGAGTCAAAGCTGCAGATTGCCTGAAAGGTTTCATCTTGGACGGCTTCCCTCGCACCGTTGCCCAAGCCAGAGCATTGGACGAGATGCTGGCAGCCACCGGGGAAGAAGTGAAGACCGTCTTGGAGCTTAGTGTGCCGGATGAAGCCCTGATTGAAAGGATCGGTGGCCGCTGGATTCACAAAGCTTCTGGCCGCTCGTACCATACCAAGTACAATCCCCCGAAGTCTTTCGACGGCAAGAGCGAGCCCACGCCGGCGAACATGCGGGACGATGAAACCGGAGAAGCTTTGACGCAGCGCCCTGACGACAATAAGGATGCTCTTCCAAAAAGGCTGGCTGCCTACCATGCCGAGACGGTGCCTGTGCTTGGGCACTACAAGTCCCGCGGGGGTTGTCGGGTGGCACAAGTGGATTCGAATTTGGGCCCTGCACGCAAGACGGAGGACATTTGGGCAGACTGCGCCAAAGCTTTGGGCTTGAAGCGTGACAAGATTATCCTGATGTTCGGGCCGCCAGCATCTGGCAAGGGAACGCATGGTGGGCGAATAACAACGGCCCTGGGAATTCCACAGCTCTCTACCGGAGACATGCTGCGCGAAGCCGTGGATTCTGGCACGGAGATCGGTTTGAGGGCCAAGTCGGTGATGGAACAAGGGCCGCTCGGCTACCTTAGTTTTCAGCTACGTGTGATTGGTCGTCAGACTCCTGTAAAGAAGCAGGATAGCCGTCTCGTGATAGTCTCTGGCAGCATCATCAACGACTGTTGCCCGTTCTCTATAGTGAGCCGTTCCCACGTCTGGCAGGGGTCTTAAATGAAAGTCGACAGCGCACCGGCGACATGTTGAACCTGCGCGGCTTCTGGCGTGTGTGGGATACGGGTTCGGGATATGGGGTTGGTAGGGAGACAGAACTCGAGAGCAGCTTGTAGAATTTCTTGTGCAAGGCAGCTGGTGAGCGACGACATTGTCATTGGCATCATCAGGGACAGAGTCAAAGCTGCAGATTGCCTGAAAGGTTTCATCTTGGACGGCTTCCCTCGCACCGTTGCCCAAGCCAGAGCATTGGACGAGATGCTGGCAGCCACCGGGGAAGAAGTGAAGACCGTCTTGGAGCTTAGTGTGCCGGATGAAGCCCTGATTGAAAGGATCGGTGGCCGCTGGATTCACAAAGCTTCTGGCCGCTCGTACCATACCAAGTACAATCCCCCGAAGTCTTTCGACGGCAAGAGCGAGCCCACGCCGGCGAACATGCGGGACGATGAAACCGGAGAAGCTTTGACGCAGCGCCCTGACGACAATAAGGATGCTCTTCCAAAAAGGCTGGCTGCCTACCATGCCGAGACGGTGCCTGTGCTTGGGCACTACAAGTCCCGCGGGGGTTGTCGGGTGGCACAAGTGGATTCGAATTTGGGCCCTGCACGCAAGACGGAGGACATTTGGGCAGACTGCGCCAAAGCTTTGGGCTTGAAGCGTGACAAGATTATCCTGATGTTCGGGCCGCCAGCATCTGGCAAGGGCACGCATGGTGGACGAATAACAACGGCCCTGGGAATTCCACAGCTCTCTACCGGAGACATGCTGCGCGAAGCCGTGGATTCTGGCACGGAGATCGGTTTGAGGGCCAAGTCGGTGATGGAACAAGGGCCGCCCGGCTACCTTAGTCTTCAGCTACGTGTGAGTGGTCGTCAGACACCTTTCGAGAAGCAGGATAGCCGTCTCGTGATAGTCTCTGGCAGCATCATCAACGACTGTTGCCCGTTCTCCCTAGTGAGCCGTTCCCACGTCTGGCAGGGGTCTTAAATGAAAGTCGACAGCGCACCGGCGACATGTTGAACCTGCGCGGCTTCTGGCGTGTGTGGGATACGGGTTCGGGGTATGGGGTTGGTAGGGAGACAGAACTCGAGAGCAGCTTGTAGAATTTCTTGTGCAAGGCAGCTGGTGAGCGACGACATTGTCATTGGCATCATCAGGGACAGAGTCAAAGCTGCAGATTGCCTGAAAGGTTTCATCTTGGACGGCTTCCCTCGCACCGTTGCCCAAGCCAGAGCATTGGACGAGATGCTGGCAGCCACCGGGGAAGAAGTGAAGACCGTCTTGGAGCTTAGTGTGCCGGATGAAGCCCTGATTGAAAGGATCGGTGGCCGCTGGATTCACAAAGCTTCTGGCCGCTCGTACCATACCAAGTACAATCCCCCGAAGTCTTTCGACGGCAAGAGCGAGCCCACGCCGGCGAACATGCGGGACGATGAAACCGGAGAAGCTTTGACGCAGCGCCCTGACGACAATAAGGATGCTCTTCCAAAAAGGCTGGCTGCCTACCATGCCGAGACGGTGCCTGTGCTTGGGCACTACAAGTCCCGCGGGGGTTGTCGGGTGGCACAAGTGGATTCGAATTTGGGCCCTGCACGCAAGACGGAGGACATTTGGGCAGACTGCGCCAAAGCTTTGGGCTTGAAGGCCTGAGATGCTGAGGCTGCCATGCCTTGATAGCTAAGCCAGTTCTTGCGCTTTCAAGCACTTTTTTCACAGAGTATAGAATGGTATACCAAGCACCTATCCTTGCCTCTAGATGTGCTTTGAGCAAGCATTCAGGCGTATTGACAGAGCTGGCAGACTTATCGCTGCATGTGAACATCGCTGCAGCATTCCATCCTAGCTCACAAGGCAACGCGGAAAAGACCAGAGCATTCTGCTTTGAAGTTTCAACTTTTCCGACCCGCACCATGGTCGACAGTTATGACAGGTAACACGTACAACATTTTCGCTCATGTAGAAAGATAGATAGATGGATAGACAGATAGATAGAGATATTGATTATGCACATATATACATACGTACATACATGCATACAGACATACAGACATAGAGGCATACAGACATACCGACATATGTATATATACACACGTATGCACATCTGCCTGTATGTGTCTATCTACCTACCTATCTATCCATCTATGCGTTAATTGAAGATCCAACAGCAAAGCCTCGCTCCGTCCTCTTGAGAGCCGTGTGAAGTTACCGCTAGAAGGGGCTTTCAGAGAGCTCCTCAATCAAGGTCTTTGTTCCGTTCTTCTGAGGCCTGCCGGTACATGCGCAGGATGCGTCGGCCCAAGAGAAGAGAGTCGCGGGTTGGAATGCTCTTGTTCGCAGAAATTGCAGGTTCTCAGTTCATGCTAGGGGGTGGACTGGACGGATTTGCAAGCTTAGTTGGTAGATTTTCGGCACTGGACTCCAGCAAAAGACTCCGTGATCCCTACTCCAAAAGCTACAGCTTGCTTTTCCCCGAGTGTCAATCTGAAGTACTTCAAACGAGTACGTTCGTCAAACACCCTGGCACATGAGCACAAAAAATGGTGCACTGTTTCGTCAAGAAGGTTGATGTTTCAACCCTTCTTTAGTCATATGTAGACTTATATCTATCTAGACCATGCCAACTTTTCACGGGCAGGCTGTTTTGAGTACATCCACCACGACTGGACGACAGAGCAGTCCATCGTAAGCGAGTCTCCAGAACATCTTAGACCCAAGCAGCCGCGGCTGAAACATTACTCAACCGCGAGATTGCGTCCGCACGACCCTACTAACATTAAAAATCATAACCATCATAAAAGTATTGTCAAGATTTTTGTTGCTACCACTGCTACTGCTGCCTCTACTACGACGACGACTACTACTACAGCTACTACTACGACTACTACTGCAACTGCTACTGATGATGATGATGATGCTGATCGTAATAACAGTTAGCATAGTGATACCAACAACAAGAATAAAAGCGACAGTCATACGAAACAATACTCCCCTCCCCCTACGTCGCCAAGTGCCAAAAAGTTTCTGAACAATCACAATAACGATGATAATGGCAATAATAATTCTACTAGTTATAACTTTAATAGTACTATTAGTAGTAACTCTCTTAAAATTTCTACCAGTAATCACTTTAGTAGTAGCAGATTCTTCTTCTTCTTCTCCGAGCAGAAGCGCCTTTTCAGGCTTTGGTCGAGCGGCTCGCGCGACCTTCCTCACCAGGGCCGCAAGCCTCGTTTCAGAATAATACAAACTGATACTAACAATAGCAACTACAGCCACTACGGCAACTACCACCACCACTACTGCTGCTGCTGCTGCTAATACTGCTCATTAAAAATAGTCATAACAACAGAAATAATAAGCATACCAATAATAGCAAGAAGTTCGAAGTTCTAGGATGAACTTAGCGTAGACTGCACGTCTTGAAGGTCTCCGATCCTCGGCGTCGTACTTGTCGAGATGCTTGCGAGGTTGTTGAGTTGAGGGTCTCGTGCTTCAGGGGTCCTAGACGGTCTTGCGAGTCGTTTTCGGCTTAAGGTCCCAAGAACCCCCTGCTTTGAGCTGCAGGTTTGGGCCACTGTTCGGCAAAGGTAGCACCCTACATCCCTTCCTGCCGACTCCGAATCATTCCGAATTAAGGTAAAAGCCGCAGAGGAGTTGTGTCTCGTGAAAGAGCTTTTTGCGCGGTGCACGGACTCGAGGGTCTTTAAGCGTTGGGTTTTGTTTCAGATACTGACACACAGGTCAGGCCCTAGGAAAGGCAGAGGACCCCACACCCAGCCAAACCCCAGCTCAAAAGAAACCCAAGCACCGGCAGCTACGTCCATCGAGGCGCCGTGTTTGCGAGCGCCTTGCCGCTTGGTCGGCCGAGCGGAATTCAGCCGCAGAGAGCCGCGCGGCAGCTTGAGATTGGATGCACAGATAGAACATTGCGAGGAGTCTGTGGCCGGGGTTTTCGGCGAATTACTCACCAGCTCGTCTATGTGCAACGTCATTCTCCTGTCAGTGCAGAGCACTGTGCAAGAGCGTCGATGCCCAAAACTTACCGTGAAGGAAGCACGACTGCATTGCGGGACCATGGGTCTCGAAACCGCGCCGCATTCCGGCTGCGAGCTGTGTTTAGTTGGTTCAGTTGGTGCTGTATCACATTGAATGCAAACAGTGCGTTTGCGGTTGTTCCTGTGTCAGGCATACTTGTGGGATGACAAATTAGGTGGTAGTCGTTGAAAGGAGAGGAGTCGGAGGAACTCGGTCCGAATGTCTTTGATAAATCAGTATAGTTGCTCCAGACGAAGCTGCCTCGACGTAATCACTCTTACCTCTAAACATGCCCACACACCGAGTTCCTGCGAGCTGGATCCCCGTGAGTTCATACCGAATCGCGCCCAGTCTTCACAGCTCAGGAGAGTGCACTTTTCGACCCGACCTCACTCGCAGTGGCCGTCCGTGGCTCACAAGGGTGCGGAGGTGGTAAGGCCTTGGGCCTTGATTTTCAGTGTGGTTTCTCGAAGTTCAGCAGGGAATCCCACGCCAGCTGTCCGCACCATGGACATCGAACGCCCGATCTGTTAAAGCAGAAAAGCCATTCAGCAGTTCCTGCCTCTCCTCGCGTTCCCCTGTGTCTTGCTCCAATGTGTTGTACCCTTTCCAAGACTCTCTGATCGTGTCTTTAACTTTGTAGTTTTGCAGACCTCGTCCAGCGTTGGCTCTCGTGTAGGGGGCGGGCAACCTTCTTGTCTCTCCCCCGAACCAAAAAGGGCCCTGAATCCTTGAGGAACGCCCTTAACCGCCTCTTCCCTCCGAGGCAGCTTTGTCCAGACGCGCGCGGGCTTCACTGCCATGACACCCGAAAGGCGGACGAAGGTGCAGGGCCCAGGGCCGGGCTCTGGAGGGTGAAGGCCTGAAACCCTGAAGGTCTGAAGTAACCCGGAACCTTCAACCCGGAACCCTGAAGCCCCCCCCAAAAAAAACAAACACCCTGAGTCCGGAATCCGCCAGGCTGCCTCTAGCGTGACCTCGTCTGCGCGGCCCTGAGATTTGCCGAATGCAGGGGTCACACCTGAGTGAAAGATGGGCTTAGCACAGGGACGCGACTGCAGCGTTTGCAAGAAACACTATGCCGGCTTCTTTTCTAGCCCATAGTTGTAATTCGGGCACATTGCTTTCGTCTGCCCGTAGAAGAGTCCCTGTAGCCTCCACTGCCGCCAGGAGCCCACCTTCCAGCCGCAGACGACACTTGGATGCTGTTGAGATTCGGTTTTGTAATTTTCTGATGCCGATGAAACTGGGAAAGCGAACGCGGACCCTGAACGTTTAAAGCTCTCAAGATCGTTTGTTTTCTAGGTTTGTGAACCAAGGAATCCCATCCATCCGAGCATGCGAAGTGTTGGCCCCAGACTGCGTCATATGACACATGGGTGTCATTTGGCCGACCTTTCTTGTCTTTCGGGAGCGTGACAGTGGTACTTGTGGATGTGTGTGAGGTAGCTCCGGTCCTCAGTTCGCGAGAGAGACTCATGATCTCTGGTCCTTCTCGGCGTTTTTTGTCTTCTCTGGCATTGCTCGCATTCGGGTGTGTGCATCTTTCCATATGAAGAGGGTTCTTGTCGATATCATCAAGTTCGCTATGGTCGCAAGTGCTCATGGTGTCAAGGTTGCCCTTGCCCAGCTTCCGCCAGTTTGAACTCAAGCACAGCCCACCCGCTTACACCTGACTCATCGGACATCGGATTCAGGTCGCATAGACTACACGCAGACAGCAAACCTGTCGCGCGTAAAGCGAAACATGGAGCCATATCCGGAAGGGGAAAGCTAGCAAGAGCTTGTGCATCGAACTCCGCAGACAAGCTCGTTGTACAGGGGATAACAACTCAAGGAAGCAGAGGGTGCGAATGGAGCTGGGCTCTCTCTGCCCGCGGAGGTGCGCATGCCTACCTTCAACAGAGCGTTTTCCGTTGCGGACTCAGTTGAACCACTTCCAGTATCTTGTCTCCATTGCTGCCCATGATGAGCTTTTCTGACTGTGATACCAGCATTGGCCAGTCCTGGGATCCTGGCTCCTGACCGTAGGCCTTTAGGCTGCTTTGTGGCATGGCAGGGATCATTGGGCGCTGGGGCTTGCATAATGTATGCCGCATATTCCATATGCCCCACGTCGAGCCATGAACCCAACCCAAATCCATAGTAGACTCCTAAACCCTGTGCCTGACAGCCTCAACCCTGAACCCTCAAACCCTAAAGCCCCAAAGCCCTAAACCCCTAAACCCTAAAAAGCCCAAAGCCCCAAACAACATCCCAAAGCCCAAAAAATCCCTGAACCCCGAGACCGCCTACTTCCGAGGACGCCTCTCCCAGTCTGGCCCCCAGGAGTCGGCAAATCCGCATCCTTCGCCCTTTTTGCAGCTTTGGGCCCCCTCGGCCCTGGGTTCGGTTCGGGCTTTCACTTCTTACGCTGGGGCGTTGAGGTCTCTCTTTTGGGGAATCTGAGGTCAGCTTTCCGAGTTTTCCATTGGGTTGAGTGAAGCACAGGGCGCGAGAATGCATGGAGCCCAGGAGTACGAATCTTTGGGGCAGTCGAGTTGCAGCTACTGCAACAGTGACTGAAGGGTTTTCTCAGAGGGAGGTATGTTGTTAGTCAAGAGTTGCATCTGAAC